GATGACTCATCATAATGGATGCGAGGTATTTTGAGATCATCTAACCATAATATATTCTAAAAATATTTCAATGATATATGATATAGCTATATAATACTATGGAGTGAAGCAAGGTGAAAAAAGCCTAAATCAATGCTTTGCTAAGATAACTAGACTCATTCAAGATTTACATTCTTTACTGCATATCTATAGTGATATTTGATTGATGTAGAAACAACATGATACATTTTACATTTTCCTAGCAGTCTATCTTTATTGAGTATGATGAAGTTCACATTTAAATTTTGTTTGAAGTTGAGTTGTCATCAACAAACATCACTAGTATTTTACTGCATAATACTAGTGATGTTTGTTTAAATTTATTGAGTCTTGAGGGATTACTTTCTGCAAACAATGTGTCTGTTGATGACAAGGAAAATATGAAGATAATGATGCATCAAAAATCTGCCATAGTTTCTCAGGATCAGGGAGCACCCACTACATCAATTAGTGCCAAAGAGAGTGCTATAACCATCACTTTCCAAAGCATATTAGTGTCTCTTGTATTTTTCTAGATCAACAGAACTCAAAGACTATTCCTACACTAGTGGAAACCACGTCCTTCATATTTGCTCACCACTCCTCTCATTGATTTATTCATGGTGGTCACTCTAGGAGAGCAAGAGGTAGAGGTAGGAGCTCTAGAGCCCATCAAAGAACATATAATATGATCTTCATAGTTATACTTCCAAGACATATAATTTGGTTGTTTCCAAAGAGAATGGGGAGACTCAAATAAGTCTAACTAACTATATGAAATGAAGAGTGTGCTTAAGTCCTCTAGTCTCATGTTGCTGAACAAACATTATTATCACCAATCAGACATGAAGGCCTATAACAAACTCAAGTTACTAGTTTACAAGTTTTCTAGTCTACAAGTATTGGAGTAAGTCATGGAAATTAAATAAACACTAGCTTCTATGTTTGGATCACAAGCTCTTCCACAAGTATGGGGTACTCATCGTGTTAGTTTCAAACTTAGTTTCAAATAATTTCTTACATTTATTGATTACCATTCACATGTTACATGACTTTACCTCATGAAGGATATATCAAGATTATTTACCATCTTTTGTTGATTTTACGTTAAAATTAAGGAACCAAAATATTTGAATGCTATGTTCAAATAATATGAAAGATTATTTTAGTTTTTTTTTTCACAATAATGAGCTCATCTTGGAATTATTGATCAATAATCTTATCCTCATACCTCTTTTACTTGTCTTCCTCTATCCTAAAAGAAAAAATTGTCATATCATTGAAAGATTTCATATACTTCTTTTACCACCACTTCCTTAATTAACTACATGTCTTCCTCTATCCTAAATAATAAAATTATTATTTTATCCTTCATCCTAAAGGCCCATTATACAACATTCCATCTAAGGTTTTTGAGTGTACTTGCTATGTCCACAACCTAGGTGTTGGCTGATAAACTTGGTGTCGAATTTGTAAAATGTGTCTTTTTTGGATACTTTTCTACTACAAAAAAGATGTAATTATTAATGTTCATCTCTTCATCAACATTCCACATATGCTGATGTTACTTTCTTTGAAGGCACCCATTCTTTGATAAATATTAGCCCACCAACTTCTTAGAAGAATCGTCACCTCTACCAATCATCTACTGGTCGCCCTAAATTTTATAGTCAGCTAATTGTTAAGTCAATTGACAATCAACCCCCAAACATGCAAGTGTAAGGTGTACACATGGCAAAAAGTTTCTCAAAACTCTATTAAAGTACTCAAATCTACAATCAGTCTCCTATATGTTTAATGGTCTATCAAAGAACACATCTACATCAAGTGACCTTGATCTTCTCATCACCTTTAGTAGAGGGAAATTGTCTTACATAAATTAGCCCCTATCTAATTTTGTATCTTATCATTTGATATCTTCAACTTATTCAGTTTTCTTTCCATCGCCTATAAATCATACTCCTCAAACTATTTCAAAGACATTGAGTCATCCCAAATCATGTGTTGCTAAGAATTAGACACAACAACTTGTTAGATGCAAATAGGTATATAATGTTAAAGATAGACTTGGTGACATAGTGGATGAGTTAGAAGCTCATTTTGTGACAAAGGGCCTCATTCAAGTATATGGCAAAGATTATCCTGAGACGTTTCCACTTCCTTCTAAGATTACTTCTTGCACTTTCTTACCTTAGGATTTTCATTCTCTTGGCCTCTCCATCAACTAGATATCAAGAATACATTTCTCTCGAGTACTATACAAGAAGAGATCTACGTGGACTAGGCATTAAGATTTATCATTCAAGGATAATTTGATATGGTATATGATGTAACCTAATTGTTGTATAAGAAACTACATAAATTTAAATTTTATGAAACTAGAAAATGCTTATTTTTAGAGTTTTAGAAATATTTGAGTACAAATAAATCAATTATAATTTGATAAAAAAATTAAAAAATGGTAAAAAAATCCAAGTCAATCATAAAGATATAAGATAATATTTGATAAAATTTCAAGATTTTACTCCAAAAATATATTTTTTTAATATTTTTAGATTAAATAATAAAAATAAAATTTATTTAAAAATCTACAAAATAGGGAAATTTGGGTGTGTACATCATGATTATGTCAGTACCCCCAACAAATATGATTTTGGTGAAAAAAAAGTTCTACACAATGATTCTTATATAAATAATTATAGATGATTTAATTGATCAAATTAAGATCTATAAAAGCTAGAAGAATCATAACTTAATAAAAAATATTTTCTAAACTTGAAATCACACAAAATATCACAAATTAAGTAAAAAATAAATTTTAAAGCAAGAAAGGCAAAATTCTAATGTCATGATAGTGATCATTAGAATTCTAAGTATTTAAAAAGATTATCATGCGATGTCTATGAGTTTAAAGACTCTCTTAGATATAGACAACATAGACAATCTCTAGATATTTTTAAAAAATCTAAAAATCAAAGAAATGGGTCAAAAAATCATCTTCAACAATTATCACCTAATTGAGCAAAAATTCAATGACTTTCAGATCTATAACAATTGTCACTTGGTGGAGATAAGTTGAATAAAGGTGGGACATGTCTTAAGAAGCTTCATCCTCATGTTTGCATAGTAAGAGGAGGCTCTTCATAATAATTGGTATGCTCTGAGGAGGTGATGGCTTGTCTATCAGTGAATCATCCTCATCTCAATGATAATTTATTCGTTAATCAATTAGATATGATTTCTTTAATAGATTCGTAATCTTTTCATCTATAGTCATTCGTCAATTTGTAATGATGCTTTGCGAATAGTTCTAACAAAATTTCTATCAATGTGTGAATGATTCTAGCAACTTAATCATTAACTGGCACTCTACAAAAATTGAGATTTAGTTGGATTAAAATATGAATTTTAGCTTTGGTGGGATTCAAACCCTCATCGGTCACTTGACTGTGTGAGAGAGAAAATGCGAATTACGTGCATACCCTTGACCTAGTGAGGTCATAAGACATTTCCTTCTCATAAGTCAAAGCTAATTTTTTATATAAAAATATTAAAACTTACTAGTGAGCACTCACATAGGTTTAGTTCCACATCGGCTATTTTCTGATATATGAAACAAATATATATCAATACCCCCTTTTCTCATCAACATCAGGTGAAAACTAATTGTAACAATACTCCGACTTGAAGGGAGTTTGAAAAGTATGGAACTATAGCTGGTATACATTTTTGTATAGTAAATAGACATGTGGTAAATGGACCCAAGTAGTGTATTATTGCGTAAAAAGCACCATTACGGTTAAGAGTACTAAACCTAAAGGGCCTACCATCATAAAGAGATGTTTTTCTTTTCCTCTCTCCCATTTGACACCAACCATCCTCTTAATGTGTAGTGATGGTGGCCACAATATGATGAAGCCTCACAGAAACAATAGTACTCACAATAGTGGAGGCAGCTGTGATGACAGGAACGGTTGTGGTGGCAGTTAATGTGATCCTCTAGTCCCAAAACCATTGGATCTAATAATGTATGGTAATATTAGAGTTCCTTCAATGCACCCAAAAGGCAGAATTTACTAAATAGTTATACCGAAATTGTAATGGTATTCTTACAGTTAAAATCCATGGGTAAACATACCTTATAGAAAATAAATTTGAATTAATCTATAGAAATATCATACTTACTACTCTCAAAAGGTAAGATTGTGTATCGTAGAGTCGAGTAATCTGGAAGCCCAAACAAGCCCTGCCTAATATTCATCCAGGCTTTCTCTCTCTCTCTCTCTCTCTCTCACCGACCTTATCTCTCCAACTAGACAAATGAGTATTTTATGATATCATCATTTATAGTGTCAAGAAATCTCTTACTCTTTGCATGACTTACATCACTGGGGGTTTCATGCTCTGAATTCGAGGCTTCGTCATGGCTGCCTTGACAGACAATCTGTTGACCTGCTCATCTACGAAAGAAAAACTAAACGGCGAAATTTCTCTCTCTCTCTCGCTCTCAATCTTCGAGGCGAGGCGTCTGAGAGGAAGTCAACGAAACATGAAGCTTCGTAATAGGTTCCAGCATGACATGCTTTACGTCTGCTGCCACGATACGATGAAGAAGCCTCGCAGAAATAAAACTGCGATGGTGGAGGCAGCTGTGATGATATACCTTATAGAGAATAAACTTGAATAACCTTGAATTAAATATAATACTCTCTCTCTCTCTCTCTCTCTCTCTCTCTCTCTCTCTCTCTCTCTCTCTCTCGCTCGTCAACCTTATCCCTCCAACTAGACAAATGAGTATTCTATTTCTACCGCTAGCAAATTTGACGAAGTTTCTAGGAAACCGCCACCTGGAAGACCATAGAAGGTCTTATGCAAAATATGACAGGGCGACAGGGCTAGCTCCATTATTGTTGTCATCGATTTATATTATCCCTCTCCCACCTGAGCAAGGCCTGTTTTCCACGGAATCAGAGTCGGAGACGATGGCCAGGGCAACTCTGGAGGGTTTCCGCGCCGTTGCTCGCGGCGGCGCCTCAACCTACGCCGTTCCCCCTGCTATGTTTCTCCTCTGCATGGTGGCCGCCTCGCTCTTCATCCTTTCGACGATTCTTTTCGCCTGTGGTCACAGCCACGAGAAGAAGAAGAAGAAGTCTAGCAGGAATGGCAACGTTACCTACTACGGCAACGGCGGCCAGACAACGACCAGTTATGCCTACAGAGCCAACACCGGTGGCGGTGCTGCTAAGAGCAGTTACCCTGCCAGCGGTGCCGCCGTCGGCGCCGCAGCCGTCGTAGGCCTTGGCGTCGGCGTGGCCGTTGCCGCTGCTGCTAGCGACGTGGGTGGAGACGACTTCGGCGGAGGAGATGGGGGCGGCTGTGGTGGTGGGTGCGGCGGTTGTGGTGGTGGGTGCGGCGGCTGTGGCGGTTGACTTTGTTCTCTGCCCCCAAAGCCAAATCCAGCCTGGAAAGAAGAAATACGTTGACTCCAATTCCAGATGATACAAAGACTTACCAGGGAAAATATCGGTTTGCTTTAGACACTCCACACTGCCAAGAAAACAGCTGTAAAAGTTTGCTACATCATATCACAATAAAAGTTTCCACAAAATTTTCAGTCTGAAAAACGTAAAATGACTTTCGAAAGCTATCAGTTATATACACTTAATAATATCTATAATGGATTGAATAATATCAGATAAACTATTATTTGATGCATCAACCTTAGTGTCTACATTATTTTCCTCAAAATTCCCAATAAAATTAATCCATAGAGAAGTTTTTTCCAATTTTTAATCTCCTAAATGGGTCCCATGTTAAGTTCTTTCCTGGCTTCAGGCTTAAGACGCGTGGGTCGTTACCTCTGCTGGGTTCTGCTCTCTTCCCACATCCCCGAATCAAGCGGCTAGACCAGCCCCGCCTTCTCCGTGTGTGGGGTTTATTCCAAAGCCTATATTAAGCTTTCCTTTCTGGCTTCGCTACGTTCGGTTCTGACCCAAAAAGGCCGGGCCTTGTTCCATGGAGTTTGACATTAGCCCGCCTATTAATCGTATAAGTTAGAAGTGGGTAAGTAACCATAAAGTTACATTTTTTTTATTCCATGGAAGAATAGCAAGTAGCCCGTCATATTTGTTCGAAGTGTTCTGATTCCATGTTAAAATTATGATGTAACCACAAGAAAATAATGCGCTATATGGTACACATGATCCGCAGTTCATAACGTCGGCCCGCTAGAATTAACTCGAAAGCCACTCCTAACGTTACAGTCATGTTCTTTTCGTTGCTCCCTACTCTCCGGATCTAGCTGAAATATGAGCTGGTTGACGATCATCAATGGTAACAGAAGCTTACATCACTTTTTGCTCAGATGATGGCCGATGAATTCATCCTGGTTTGGAAATTTTGCGTCATCATCATATTTACCGTCTAGAATTGTATATTCCTTTGAGAGATTCGCATCAGTGAGGTTATTTTCTCAAAATTCGAAGCTTCGCTGTGGCTGCCTTGAACGGACAAGCTGTTGACCTGCTCGTCTACATAGGAAGAATTAGCCGGCGAAAATTGCCGTCTCTCTCTCTGAATCTTCGAGGCAAGGGTTCTAGCGGAAGTCAGAGAAGTGTGAAGCTTCCTTATAGGTTCCAACATGAAATATTTTATGTCGGTTTCGGATTAGACGGCAGCGCGTTCGAATCTCTATAAAGTCAATCCTTCTGTCTATCCAACTCCCAGGTGTCGATAAGAGGCGAAGAACGATGGCCAGGGCCTTGTTGGCGGCCCATGGCGGCGTCGGCTCAACCTACGTTGTCACTGGGGCTCTCTTTCTCTTCTGCATGGTGGTGGCGTCTCTCTCTATCATTCCAACCATCCTCTTCGCGTGTGGTGATGGTGGTACGAAGAAAAAGGCTAGCGGCTGCTGTAGCGGCGGCGGCGGCGGCGGCTGTGGGGGCGGCGGTGGGGGCGGCGGCTGCTGTGGTGGTGGGGGCGGCGGCTGTGGTGGCGGTGGCTGTGGTGGCGGTGGTGGTTAATGATGAACCTTCGGTCCTAAAACCTCTGGGCCCATTTGTGTCTGCTACTATCGACGATGCTTTAATGCTGGTGAAGGCTAGAAAAAACGAGCATTTATCTCTGGGAAATATCGTATTTCCTATTATGGAAGGATTGTATCGGTGTCTTAAACTCGAGTAATCCCGAGACCCAATCAAGCCCATTAACGCATAATTTCCTTTTTAAGTATTTTTTAATCATCAGAGAGGTAAAGAACCTCATGTAGCCCCAGAACGAGCAGAGAGAAAAGAAGATAAAGTTTTGAGGGTTACCTCGTATCGCTCCGGAAGGAAAGGCCGTGAGGGTCAGTTATCCATCGCCATCCCCATCGCCGCCACTGCCGTCCGGCGTCCGCCGCCGTCCGTCATCCAGAATCCCCAGACACCGTCCTTCTGCCATCATCTGCCTTTCGCCCGCCGTTGTCCGCCGCTGCCGCCATCTCCCGCCGTTTCAATCCACCGTCCGCCGTCATCCACCACTGCCCATCCGCCGCCGTCGATTCGATCGCCGCCGCAATCCACCGTCGCCACTGCCGCCGCCCGTCCGCCGCTCGGGTCTTCCGCCATACCGCCGCCCCCTCCGCCTGTTCTGCACGACCCATTCGTTCTCCCTTCCCACCGGTTAGGCTTAAAACCAACCCAGTTCGTGATACCACGAACCGCAGGCCCGAACCAGTCCGGCTTAGCCCGACCCCTACCCCCCCCCACTTCTCCCCGGCCCCAAACACGCTCTACCGCCTGGTTCGAGCCAAACCGCCGTTCCAGTCCGAACCATCTTGTACTGCCTGGTTCGCACCGGCCCGTGTCGCCGGTCCGAATCATTCCAGACCGCCTGGTCCGCGCCATCCCGCCTCGCCTGGTTCGACCCAGTCTATCCAATCAACCAGGCTAGCCGGTCTACGGTCAACGACGTGGTCATCAGTTGGAGTATTATTAAGCCCTTTGGCATGAAGCAAAATAATAAAGTGTTGACTTCAAGGCTTCCAAATAATAATAGATTGTCCAACCTTTGTTAGAAGAGTTGGCATACTAAAATTATGACCAAATCATTTTAATGAAAGGGTCCACTTAAATAAATTAAGATTTATTTATATATGATTACACGTTTCTTCAGATATTTTAATTTTAATTTTTTATATAGGTAAATATTTATCTTCATGTAAAATTTAATCCACATTTTTTTATAATAATATAAATGAAAATGCAAAGATATGTAGGTTTAAATAAAGTTCAATACCTAGCTATTTTGTTTTCTTGCCTTACATACCAAGTTAATTGATAACCTCCTTTATTTTCCAATTTGATCAGAAAATCATCGAAAATTTTCTGACAATTTTTTTTTTAGCAAATGGATCTAATTTCTGAGGTTACACCTAACTTGCTTAAAAGGACTGAATTACCCCTGAACTCAATTACCATTTTGTTGTTCCTCATGGCTGGGAGGGCAGGAAGAGGGAGGCCAATGATGCCTGACTTGAAGGAGAGGAGGTAGAGGAGCCCATCAGGATGGTAAAGGTAGAGACGCCCAATGGGGAAGAGGGGGAGAGAGAGAACGTAAGTGAAAATTAGTAGGGTCTTTCATGCACCAATCACCATATCCACACTAGAAACAAAAATCCATGCAGTCCACACTAACAGATATTTGTGAGGACAATTTATAGTTTCAAGGGTTATTTAGTCCTTTCACTAAGTGGAATTTTTTTAAAAATCGGTAAAATTAGATGGAATAGTATGCTATTTTTCAAAGAACAATGTGGCTTATGGATAGTCTAGTTGCTTTGTAGGCAGCTAAAATCAAATAACTCTTAAATAAGTACAAAAAACTTGGATAAATGCAAATTTTCACGATAATGGCCACAGATAAAACACAATTTAGTATCTTTAATATTTATACACCATCATGTTTGTTATGTCTACAATCAAAGAACATGCATTTCCAATGTATCCATGTACTCCCCTTGTTACTTCAATCACATGAATACTATTTTTGGAGTTTGAGAAATCTACAAAAATCGAACGAACTAGTAACACCCATGTTTGGAATCGTTACACCGCAAGATGGGGAGGCAAAGAGACAGCGAACAGCTAGTTCTAGAGTGGAGGATGTGAAGTAATAGACCTTGTCGCCGCCACTACAACAACACTACCACCACCCCCACCTCATCAGCCACCACATCGACCTTCTCTCTCTCCACACCATTTGCTCATGCAGTCACCACAGAGGCGGGCTGATGGCGAGCAAGACCCGTCTCCATCAGCTCAGGAGACACCGGCAGTCCGAGTTCAGCTCGATCGACGTGCAAAGACGAAGGAGCCTGGCTTTCACTACACGGCCTAGCCCTTTGGGACAACGACATTCCACCTCCGCGACGACGACGAGCTCGAGCTCACCCTTATCTTTCTTGGTATTTTCACATTGACTTGTTGAACCTCGTGTTTGTGTGTTAGCGGGCCCAATTCTATGTGTGTGTTGTTATTTGTCTCCCTTTCTTTAGGGTTTTATTGGGTCTCTCTTTGAGGCCCAATTAAAACCCTAAGGGGGGGACCTATGTGTCTTTCTTTTTGGGCCTCTTTTGGGGCTTATTTGGGTCTTCATTTGAGGCCCACTTAAGAACCAGAAGAGGGCCCTCCTCTTTCTCCTTTTAGGGGAGCTTATTGGGTCTCTCTTTAAGAGGCCCAATAAGCCCCTTTTGTAGCCTTGTGGCTTATGGGCTTGAGGGTCTCAAGTGGGCCACCCCCCCTTAGCCCACTTGTGGGCCCCCATATAAGGGGAGGTAGGACCCCCCCTCAAAAGAGCGCCGTATTTTTGAGAGAGATTATCGTTTTCAGAGTACCTTCTCCGTGATCTAGGATAGGGAGGGAAGGAGGAAGAGGAAGGCCGTCGATACCCCCTTCGAGGACTTCGTTCCTCGTGACGCTGCTGCCCGAGAAGTCCCGCCGCCGCCTGAGACCACTGCCGCCGCCGGCCATCTCATTGCCGCCCGGGAGCTCGCCGCCGTCACCGGACGAAACGGTCGTGGTTGCCGCTGCAGCCGCCGCCGCCTCTGCTGGAACCCCGTCACGCCGTCGTGACGAAAGGGGCTCGCTTCGCCTCGCTACGAGCCGTCGCCGAGCACTCCGCCGGAGTCTCTCGACTCCTGGTTCGACTGCCGCCTCTTCCTCCGGAACTCCACCATAAACTCGCCGGAGCCGCCCTCCGCCGCTCCGCCCAGTCGCTGGCCGTTCGCCGACGAACGCCGACCTGCCGCCGACGTCGGAAGAGACCCTGCAGCCGTGCCGACGAGCCAGAACCAGTCCCAGCTCCTCACAGGCCCCCGCCGGAGTTTCAAGACGCTCCGCCACCGTCGCGCCGTTTCCGGCGCCGCTTAGACCAGGAGAGCTCAACCCTCCCTGGTATAGTCGGCCGGATCGTCTCCTTTCTGCTCCGCTTCCCGACGCCGCCAGAGAGGCCGATCCTTCCGGCGACGGTTGGGCTTCCGCCCCAACCGCCGACGCTCGGCCTTCCCGCCGAAGCGCCGCTGACGCTCGGCATTCCCGCCGAAGCGCCGCAGACGCTCGGCATTCCCGCCGAAGCGCCGCAGACGCTCGGCCTTCCCGCCGAAGCGCTGCCGCCGCGCGCGCCCCGCGCGCCGGCTCCTGCGTGCCCTAGGGCCGCCGCGCGGCTTGCCTCCCGCGCCCGCTAGCGTGCCATTCGGCCCACCAGCGGGCCCACGCCCGCGCCGACCGTGCCACGCCTTACGACGACGGCTACGGCAACTCTCGACCAGGACCGACCGTCGATGCTGAGCATCGCTCTTCACCGGACGTCCCTGCCTTCGTCGGATCTCCGCTCCGTCACGACCCGCCGGGCTACGCAGCCCTGAAGGTTAGCTCCGTACCCCTTCTTACTTAAGTTTAATTATCTTTCGAAGGGTTTTCTCGGCTCGTCTCTACCGCCATCAGGAGCACGTAGACAGGATAGGACAGGTTATCGGATCGTGACTTCCGACGTTGCGCCAGACTCGTCACAGTTCGTGAGCTGCAGCCCTAGGCTACTTCACGACGACAGTTCTGCCGTCTGTCCGGACGTGGACCGAGAGGGCCTCTCACTTACCATCGTCGAGTGTTTCCCCGGGTTGTCCTGGGTTGATCACGTATATTGGTACGCCTGCCTGTGCTTAAGTTACGTGGTCAGACCTAGAGTCTAGGGTCCAAACCTTCTTATCAGATCGGTCCGACTGCCCCATCTCGGGACTCGAGTTTCATTGATCCGGTACAGGGGGTTCTCGCCCCGTCCTGCATCACGGACCTCAGTGCAACTGAAAGAGGCCAGCTCGGACGGCTTGCCTCGTCAGGCATGTTGTGTTACTTCTGGGGAGAAAATTTAGACTCATGTTTTTCTTTATGTGCAAGGATAACAAGGATATTTTTTTAATAAATATTGATGTCGATTTAATCACAAAAATATATCAGAATTTGCTCAGATCGGAGATATGCTTCACAGTTCATATACTGATCTTGAATTCACCCACAGGTCACATTTCTCTATCCTTGCTTCTTGATCAAGCTGATCATGTGCCGTTTAATGACCGCACGTATTTTAGAGAAGAGATCGCCGACTGTGGTCAACGGCTGCATCCAGATTCAGAAAGTTCTCGTGAATATCTCGTTTTTCTACGACTCCAGGAAATTACAGTTTTTCAACCTCAAACATTTTTTCCCTGTAAATGTAAGACTTTAACCTGTTAAGTACGATATCTTGACAGCCTATATGAACGGAACAAGTTCTGTACCTTTGTAGTGATTACGTTGGCGGTCAAACCTTTGACTCCGGCATACAATAGTCAGAGAAAAGCCATAGGTGGGAAATTTTACTTCCTCTTTGACTTCCTATCTGTTTATTCCGCATTTTCGTCTCTCCCTTCCTCGCTGGCCCCTTTCCGGTTAGTGTTTAATGCTTCGGAGACACGAAATCGGTATGATCCGTACCTTCGCAGTGAGTTCCATGAAGAGACGTTCATGATCACGGCAGATGAGACCTCCTGCACATTCAAATCTATAAATATGAATCAAAACTCCTCTCTTTGAAACGCGGAAAGAGTTGAAGAACGATGGTCAGGGCCTTGTTAGACGCTTACGGCTCGGCTGCCCACGGCGGTGGCGGCTCAACCTACACAGTCTCCGGGACTCTCCTTCTCTTCTGCATGGTCGTGGCGTCTCTATCCATCATTCCGACCATCCTCTTCGCCTGCAGTCACAGCGAAAGAAAGAAGAGGGAGAAGGAGATGAAGGAGATGAAGAAGAGGGAGAAGGAAATGAAGAAGATGAAGAAGAATAAGAAGAAATCTCGCGCCTACGAAAGTGACTACGGTGCAGGCTCCTGGTGCAGTTGCTGTGATGGCGGGGGAGACGGAGGTGGTGATGGTGGTGATGGTGGTGACGGAGGCGGTGACGGTGGAGGCGGTGACGGTGGCGGCGGTGGCGGTGACGGTGGCGGCGGTGGCGGCGGAGGCTGTGGAGGCGGCGGTGGAGGCGGAGGCTGTGGCGGCGGCGGTGGGGCGAGCTAATCCTATTTTCCTGGAGCCACTCACCGGCTCCAGCTTGATCTGCCCCTTGACCATCTTCCTCGATGCACCGTCAGAGGGACAGAGTTTAGGCAACGGTTGTTTCCGAATTCAGCAGTTTAAAAATTCGTACGCAAACCTTTTTGTTCTAAAAACATGTGCATTTTAAGCCCCCAATAGTCATGCTGAATCTCTCTCTCTCTCTCTCTCTCTCTCTCTCTCCCCCTCACTTATCTAAATCGTTAGGAAGAATTCTTCGACTTGGTTGATCCGGTGTTAATCTCTCTCGCCATTCCCTAAAGATTTTACGGCCAATACTTAATTACAATGTCAGACTCGACTACATTACATCAGATGTGGCTTCTCCTCCTCTCACATCAAGATCTCCACTCGTCCACAGAAAGAGTATAATGTGAGAAATCATGGCCAGGGCACCGACGGTGCAGGACGTGGCGGCGGTTCCCCGGAAGGCGCCGGTGGCGGCGGCCAAGATGTGGCTGGGCTTCGGGCGGCGGCTGTGTGATGGGGATTGATGCGCTCTCCTTCCATTAAGTGGGTCGGTCGGATAAGGATCACGCGAGTTAACTAGTCAAAGCTTCTAACCGCAAAATGATTCCGTACATTTGACTTTTAATTCGGCATAACATTTCGAGACTCCAAATTATTATGATATCTACTCATTACCATAATGGCATCTGCATTGCGGGGATAAAAATTCAAACAATACGGAAAATGTTTTTTCATAAATATTAAAGACGTAATTATTATTCAAGGAAAAACTGTTTTAGAAATGTTGGAGATGGCTCGAGGACTCTATAGGCTCAAATCTAACACATATTCAGAACCGATTTACGGTCATTTCCTATGTTCTCTCGTACATCAGCATGACATTGGTTCTACCCATTGTTTGATTCAACCTTTTGTTGGGCTCCAAGACAATCCTAAGATGATTCCTTCTTTTTTTTTTCATGTAACAATAATCATAGAGAATCGCTATCACGATTCCAATCATAAAACACAGAATAGGAACCAATCTTAACCTTGTTTATAAACCTATTAAATATTCAAATTTCACCATAAGCTTTCGACTTGAAAAAAACGTTAAACTTAACCAAAAAATTGTTTCACTTGAACAATCTTTCCATTATTTTAATTTGGCTGGAAGATTTTTCCAACCTAGAGAGGCTTTGATTTCTGTACCTTTATCCATCGTCTCTTCTAATCCCCATCTATTTAATTAACAAGCGTCCATGCTTGAGATCAACTTTCTACTATTACCTTAATTTTTTATGTCACCTTTGGCTGTGTAAAACCTTCAGATCTTTGATGGCAACTCAGTGCCAAAGATGGACCCGATTTAAAAAGAAAACTGGGTCTTTTAAATCATCGAAAACTATAGTGTAGCATATGAGAAAAAATAAAGTCATTATAGGCATAAAGATTCAATATGGTTTTAAGAGTAGCTCATAAAAGAGATGAAAAGTTCTGCAAAAATGAGTTCATGCTTAAATTTTTCTTGCAACAAAAACGAGGGTTCAAAAGACCTAGAGGGATAAAAAGAGGAAGGATTTCTTGAAGAGAATCGAAGATTCCATCAGGCAATTCTACCCCATCTCTCTTAGTTTGTGACCCTGTTTAGAGAGATATAGATGCTCAAGTATGGGACTCAACAAAACTAGTCTACCAATAGGTCTGGTGCGTTTGACCCGGTGATATCTAGACTAGTCAAAATATAATAGAAATAAAAATAAATGATGGAAGGAAGCTTTTTTATGAATTAAAAAGTGATAATTAATGATAGAAATAATTCCCTTTTAAATCATCCCATAGCTACGTCAAATAAGTTTGTATCCAAATCATTATGATCACTTGGGCCCATAAGAAATGGTTTAATCTTTCATCCGTACTTGGAGCCCAGATCCTATGACTTGGACTAGTAGGACTCGGTAGAGAGCATTGAAAAATTTAGGAATTTGAACATACGACAAGGTTGGGACAAATCCCCTCCCAGAGAGGGACCAAGCACTACGTGGTCACACGAAATTTTTTCTCTCTGAGCAGATGCGTCGTCTCTGAGTAGAAGTGGCGAGAGATGCTCTATGAACACCATACTTCTGCCTCTTTGCAAAGCTGGAACTTTGGCTCAGGGCGATCGCTCGTATCCTGAGGAACAAGAACTGGAGGACTCTACTCACTATTCACTTACTTTTGAATAGATGTTCAAACATAAACAGATTTCATGGGAAAATAAGGAGATCCAGTTCGCTAAACAGCATGAAAATGAATCTCTGACTCTTTATAAACCTTATTTCGCTCGTCTACGAAGGAAAAATTAAACGGCGAAAAGTTCCCTCTCTCTCTCTCTATCTCTGAATCTTCGCGGCAAGGCTTCTAGCGGAAGTCAGAGAAACGTGCAGCTTCGTTATAGGCTCCAACATAAAATAATTTATATCGGTTTCGGATTAGGCGCCAGCGCGTTCGAATCTATATTAAGTCCCATCCTCCTGTCTATCCAAATCCCAGTTGTTGATAAGAAGCGAAGAACGATGGCCAGGGCCTCGTTGGCGGGCAACGGCGGCGGCGGCTCATCTTACGTGGTCACTGGGGTTTTCTTTCTCTTCTGCATGATGGTGGCGTCTCTCTCTATCATTCCAACCATCCTCTTCGCTTGTGGTGATGATGACCGCGGTAAGAAGAAAAAGGATCGCGGCGGCGGCGACGATGGTGGTGGCGGCGGCGGCGATTGTGGTGGTGGGGGTGGCGGCGGCTGTGGTGGAGGCGGCGGCGGCGGCGGTGGTGAATGATGATGAACCTCCGGTCCCGAAACCGCTGGGTCCATTTGTGTCTGGTACTATCGACGACCCCTTAACGCCGGTGAAGGCCAGAATCTAGTCAATAATTACGCCGAAATTGTACTGGTGTTCATAGAGTGAAAATAAACGTGTAATTATCTCTGGGAAATATCGTATTTCCTATTATGCAAGGACAGTATCAGTATCTTAGACTAGAGGAATCCAGAGACTCAATCAAGCCTTTACCAATATCCATCCAGGCCCTCTCTCTCTCTCTCTCTCTCTCTCTCTCTCTCCCTCTCACATGTCATGTTACTTCAGGACAATTTACAGTTTCAAGGTCTATTTAGTCCTTTCACTAAACGATTTTAAAAAAAAATCACCAAAATTGGATGAAATAGTATGATATTTTTCAAAGAAAAATGGGGCTTATGGATAGTCCAGCTTCTTTGTAGGCAGCTAAAATCAAATAGCTCTTAAGCAAATACACAAATCTTGCATAAATGCAAATTTCATGATAATGGCCGTAGTTAAAACAAAAAATATATATCTTTAATATTTATACCCCATCACGTCTTTAATGTCTACAATGGAAGACATGCGTTTCCAATTTATCCATGTATTCTATTTCTGGAATCGGAAAAATCTATAAAAATCGAACGAACTAGCAACAGCATGTTTGGAATCATTATACCGCAAGATGGGGAGACTAAGAGACAGTGAACAACTAGTTCTAGAGGGAGGATGTACGGTAACAGACGTCGCCGGCACCCACCACTGCAACAACACCGCCACCACCCCACCTCAATAGATACCACGTCATGACCTTCTCCGTGTCCAAACCGTTTACTTATGCAGTCGCTACAGAGGCGGGCCTTAGTGCAAATCAAAGAGGCCAGCTCGGACGGCTTGCCTCGTCGAGCATGTCATGTTACTTCTGGGGAGCAAATTAAAGTCATATTTTTCTTTATATGCAAGGATAACAAGTATAGATTTTAATAAATATTGATGTCGATTTATTCATAAAAATATGTCAGAATATCCTCAGATTGGAGGATATATTGTCGTAGATTTCCTTCACAGTTAACATTCCAATCCGGAATCCGCCTGAAGGTCACATCTCTCTATCCTTTCTTCCTAATCAAGCTGATCATGTTGTTTAATGACCGCGCGTGAATATCTCGTTTTTTAACGACTCCAGGAGATTACAGTTTTTTAACGTCGTAAACATTTTATCCCAGTAAATGTTAGACTTTAATAAGTGAAGTACGATATCTTGACCGCCTGTATGAACGGAATAGGTCCTGGAACTCCGTGGTGGTTTCGTTGCCGGTGAAGCCTTTAAGTTCAGGGTTCAATAGTCCAAAAAAGCCCAAACATAGGACATTTGATTTTCTGTCTGTTTATTCCGCGTGGGTCCTTCGTCTGTCTCTCTCCCTTCCTCCCTGCCCCCTGTCCGGTCACTGTTTAATGCTCTTCGGAGACGAAATCGGTATGATCCGTACCTTCGCGGTGAGTGCCATGAAGATAAGTTCATGATCACGGCAGATTAGACCTCCTGCACATTCAAATCTATAATTATGAATCAAAACTCCTCTCTTTGAAACGCGGAAAGAGTTGAAGAACGATGGTCAGGGCCTTGTTAGATGCTTACGGTTCAGCTGCCCACGGCGGTGGCGGCTCAACCTACAAAGTACCCGGGACTCTCCTTCTCTTCTGCATGGTCGTGGCGTCTCTATCCATCATTCCGACCATCCTCTTCGCCTGCGGTCATAGCGAAAGAAAGAAGAGGGAGAAGGAGATGAAGGAGATGAAGAAGAGGGAGAAGGAAATGAAGAAGATGAAGAAGAGGGAGAAGGAAATGAAGAAGATGAAGAAGACTAAGAAGAAATCTCGCGCGGACGAAAGTGACTACGGTGCAGGCTCCTGGTGCAGTTGCTGTGATGGTGGAGGTGGTGAGGGTGGCGGCGGTGGCTGCTGTGGAGGCGGAGGCCAATCCTACTTTCCTGGCGCTACTCACCGGCTCCAGCTTGATCTGCCCTCGTCCCATCTTCCTCGATACACCTTCAGAGGAACAGAGTTTAGGCAATGGTTGTTTCCGAATTCAGCAGTTAAAAAATTCATACGTGAACCATTTTATTCTAAACACACGCATTTTTCAAGGCCCCAATAGTCAACTGAAACTCTCTCGCTCTCTCTCTCCCTCTCGCTCTCTCTCGCTCTCTCTCTCTCTCTCGCTCTCTCTCGCTCTCTCTCTCGCTCTCTCTCTCCCTCTCGCTCTCTCTCGTTCTCTCTCTCCCTCTCGCTCTCTCTCGTTCTCTCTCTCTCTCTCTCTCTCTCTCTCTCTCTCTCTCTCTCTCTCTCTCTCTCTCTCTCTCTCTCTCTCTTTCGCTCTCTGCCCTCCGGGCAGTAGGGAAACGAAATTGAATTCGATAATAATTTTATTTATTATTATGTCAAATCATATATTACCTACTATTTTTAACCGATAATTTAGAAAATAGTAATTGCAAAAAAGAAATTGGGACCTTGAAATCTTTGTAAGACTGTAGATGTTCCCATGATAATTTATATTTTTCTGCTAATAATCAGGTTAAACTCGTAACATAATTACATATTATGTCCAATGCAGTCATATTATTAAGCTACCAAAGGCAGCCAAACTAAAGACAAAATGCGGAACCTCGGCCTTATCTCGAGGTAGATTGGCAAGCCAATGTAGAGAGCGAACCGATAGTTTTGGGGCCTGGGCTTCAACAATACCCTCCGCCGCTACCGCCCCCGCCACCGTCGCCGCCACCTCCGCCGCCGCCCCCACCACCGTCGCCCCCACCTCCACCTCCTCCTCCACCGTCTCCGACCCCTCCATCTCCACCGTCCCCACCTCCGCCAATGCTGTCAGCTATGGCACTGCAGCAATTGCTTGCACCGTAATCACCTTTGGGGGCCTTCTTCTTCTTATTCATCTCCCTCTTCCTCTTCTTCTTCTCCTCCTCCATCCTCTTCTTCTCCTTCTCCTCCTTCCTCTTCTTCTCCTTCTTCTCCTTCTCCTCCTTCCTCTTCTTCTCCTTCTCCTCCTTCCTCTTCTTCTCCTTCTTCTTGTTGTCACCGCAGACGAACAGGATGGTCGGAACGATGGAGAGCGAAGCCACAACCACGAAGAAGAGAAACATAGCCCCGGTCACATTGATGGTTGCGCCGCCGTCGTGGGTGGCCGAGCCGGAAGCAAGCAACAAGGGCCTGGCCATTGTTCCCTCAGCTCTTGTTGAGCTCTGGGAGTTGGAGAAAGAAGGGAGAAGGCCTGATGTAGACGGTGGAACTTGCGAGGGTCCTTTCTCCATTCCGTATGAATATCTTCCAATGCAGCCAACAGGGAAGAGACGCACACAGACTTTTCTCTTAGGAGGGGAGTAGAGATTGGGAGACAGTTAACTTTGGACAATAATTTTTAAATTCAACGGCCGTACACTGATCTTGAATTATACAACTCAGACGTTTAAAGCTAACGTATTCATGAAAAAAATTGTTCATTGGGCCATGGATTTGATAAGTGGAAGTCAATTACCCTTCGTATTATATATTTTCTTGGGATCTCTCTCTCTCCCTCTCCCTCTCTCTCTCTCTCTCTCTCTAGCCTATCTAAATCGTTAGGAAGAAATCTTCGACTTGGTTGATCCGGTGTTGATTCTCTCTCACTTCCTAACTTATCTGAATCATTAGGAAGAAATCTTCGACCTGGTTGATCCGATGTTGATCTCTCTCTCTCTCTTCCTAACTTATCTGAATCATTAGGAAGAAATTTTCAACTTGGTTGATCCGGTGTTGATTTCTCTCGCTCTTCCTAAACATTTTACGAGAAAAACGTAATTACAATGTCAGACAGGACTATATTTCACAAGATGTGTCGTCTCCTCCTCTCAAGTCAGGATCTCCACTCGTCTACAGAAATAATATAATATGAGAAACCATAGCCAGGGCGCCGACGGTGCAGGACGTGGCCGCGGTTTCCGGGAAGGCGACGTGGCGGCAGCCCAGATATGGCTGAGCTTGGGGCGGCGGCTATGTGAAGGGGATTCATGCGCTCTCCCTCCATTATGTGGGTCGGTGGGATAAGGATCACGCAAGTTGACTAGTCAAAGTTTATTAACGCAAATTGATTCCGTACATTCAACTTTTAAGTTTTAATACATTAGATAGAAAAATATGTTGAATCTTGGACTCCCTAAAATCAAATTCTCTTAGAACAAATCAAGCCTCTCTCTCTCTCTCTCTCTCTCTCTCTCTCTCTCTCTCTCTCTCTCCCCTCATTTTTTGTATATGAGAGTTTTGGTCGTCATCAGTTAAGTATTATTAAGCCCTTCTGAATGGAGCTAGATAATCAAATGTGTCGACTTCAAGGTTTCCAAATAGTAGTATATTGTCCAATTTTTATTAGAAGAATCGGCATACTAAAATTATGACCAAATTATTTTAATAAAAGCATCCACGTAAATAACTTAACATTGATTTATATATGCTGACATGTTTCTTTAGATATTTCAATTTTAATTATTTATATGGGTAAATATTTATCTTCATGTAAAATTTAATCCACGTTTTTTATAATAATATAAATGAAAATGAAAAAATATATAGGTTTATATGAGTTCAATACCTGGCTATTTTTTTTTCTTCCCTTACATACGAAGTTAATTGATGGCCCCTTTATTTTCTAATTTGACTAGAAAATCATCAAAACCCTTTTTAGCACATGGGCCTAGTTTTTGAGTTTACCCTAACTTGCTTGAAAAGACTAAATTGCCCCCTGGACTTGATTACCGTTTTATTGTTCCTCGTGGCTTGGAGAGCCAGAAGAGGGAGGCCAATGAGGCCTGATGTTGAGGGAGAGGAGGTAGAGGAACCCATCAGGATCGTCCCCTCCCTCCAGTCCAGCAATAGTAGAGACGGTCCAATGGAGAAGAGGGGGAGATGGAGAACGTATATAAATGATCCATGCAGTTCACTCTAACCAGTATTTATGAGGACAATTTATAGTTTCAAGGGCTATTTAGTCCTTTCACTAACTCATTTTTATAAAAATGACTAAAATTCTATGAAATAGTATGATATTTTCCAAAGAACAATAGGCTTATGGATAGTCCAATTGCTTTGTAGCCCGCTAAAATCAAATAAATCTTAAATAAATACAAAAAACTTATCATAAGTACAATTTTTCATGATAAGGGCCGTAGATAAAACAGAATTTTGTATTTTTGATATTTGTTCACCATCACGTATTTAATGTCTACAATGGAAGGCATGCGTTTCCAATTTATCCATGTATTCCCCTCGTTATTTTGATTACATGAGCACTATTTTAGGAGTCGGAAAAATCTATACAAATCGAACGAACCAGCAGCAGCTTTTTTGGAATCATACCACAAGACGAGTAGGCTAAGAGATAGTGAACAACAAGTTCTAGAGTGGAGGATGTACAGTAACAAACCTCGTCGCCACTGCTGCCGCCACAACTACAACAACATTACCACCACCCCCACCTCAACAGCCACCACATCACTACCTTCTCCATCTCCACACCATTTGTTCATGCAGTCACCATAGCAGCGGGCCTTAGTGAAGCTAAAAGACCCAATCAAGACTCAGCAGGCACAATAGAGGACTCAAGCTCGGTCCATGCAAAGTTGGGCCTAGAAGGCAACCGGAGATCCCGACACCAACGCACCTACCCAAAATCTGAAGACATCTTTTATTATTAGTGAGCTCTCTTAATGGACTTTCCTTTTTTTCACTTACCTTTGTTCGATTTTGTAAGACCTATATAAGGTATGTCCAATCATCTAAGAGAGAACATTAGAATTTGAAGAATAGATTTACCTTCATTGAGGCTTCATCGCCTGCTGCTGGTTGTGAAGACCCCGACACCCCGGTTGGGTTGGTCGTGAGGACCTCGTGCGCCCAGTTGAAGCTCTATCGCCGTCGTCTGTTGTCGCTGCCGCTAGAATCGCCACCTTCTCCCTCAGTTGCTGACGCCCTCCTTCATCGTCGTCTAGCCCGTCGCCACCTTTCCGCCACTCCCCATTGCCTACAACTCTGTCTCTCTCCACTGTCGCCGTCCTGCCTCCGCCTGTGTCACGGTCGCCCACCCGCCTAACCGCCGTTGCATTCACCCCTCCATCTTCCGAGTTAGCCACCTAGTTCGGCGCCCACAGAGTGATAAGGGCTTAAACCCCAGGAGTCATGGTTGGGCTCACCCTTGCCATCAGCCCATTACCAAGATCCATCCCATCACAGCCCACCAGGTTCATTTGAGTTGGGCCAATATCTACCAAGCAGCTCCGTTGGACTTGAGCCGTAGCTGACGAACTGCCAGCCCTCTGATCTGCCTGGTCTCCTCCAATTAACAGTCCACTGTCTCCTCTGGTTAACGGTCAACAATCAACGATCTACCCCTCTACCTTGGTCTCTCTGGTAATCTCCACAACTAGTAGTCTTGACTGTTATGCCTAGTAATCACTGCTCCTTGAATATAGTCTTCTTGTAATTGTCGCATTTAGTGATCTTTATAAAATAGCTACCTTTCCTTCACATTATGTGATCATATCTTGTGTTAAGCTTGATTCGCATCATTGATTCCAAGCAGCACCCTATGTCTGGCGATTTGCCTAAACCGCTCAATCCTAGTCGTACCTTCATAATCATGGATGATTTTGCGCTCAATTCAGATTTATCTTTCTTCAATTTCTGACAATGTTTGTGGTTTCTGCATCGTTTATTATATCTTTCCCAGATCGTCATTATCATTTGCATTATTTAAAGCTAGGTTACATCGTAGGGTCACACATGTCTTTATCTCTCATATGTCACATTCGTCTCTTAGGACAAGGCATACATACCCCACCATCTACCTACTAGACTAAGACATCTATCTATGCCCACATGTCTCTAGATCTAGGCATGCATATTTAGTTGAGGATGATCATTCTGATCCTAGTATGGAGGATGCTGCTCCCTCATGGGTGAAGAAAATGATGAATAAGCTTAGATAATATATATAGTAGATTTACCAAGTTTAAGGCCAAGAGGGAATCAGACACATCTCCTAATTGATGACCCTCTTCTCTCTTTGAGTGACATAGATCACAATACTTTTCTAAGGACAAATATCATCAACAGATTAGACCTCATTATGACCCTCCTGATCACAACAACCGACACTTTCCTAGGAATGTTCATCATAGGCTGACTAGATTTTATGGTGATGAGCATGACTATGGCACCTAACATTTTCCTAGGAATGATGATCATAGGAAGCCTAGATATCACGATGACCCTTTCGATCATGACACTTCATACAAACACATTAGGGTTGACATTCCCAAATTTGAGGGTTCACAAAACCTTAAGGACTATTTAGATTGGGAGGTAGCCATGGATTGTTATTTCGAGTGGTATGATATGCTAAGTCGATGAAGATTAGATTTGCTAACTTAAAATTTGTTGAACCTACCAAAAAAAATTGGCAGGACATTGATTGCCTACTTAGAGTATAGAGGTCAAGAACCCATACAGATTTGGGCCAAGATTAATGCCAAAAATATATTCCCACTAATTATCAGTTCATGTTAATAGATTAGTAGTAACGCATAATACAGGGCACTCGATCAGTTACCGCATATGTGGCTCAATTCAATGACCTTACGTTTAACTGTGTGATGAATGAAGACCTAGTTTTCACTCTTTCCCATTTTCAGACTGAATTATGAGACGATTTGTGGAAAGAGCTTTTTGTTAGAGATATTCACACCTTAAAGGAGGCTTATCAGCTAGTTGTAGATTTAAATAGTTTTCATATACCCTCTTTTACTCGACTTACCCCACATATACAGCCTAGCCAATTTATGACCCACACCTTAGAGGTGCCTAGACCTGATCAGGGTAGTGTGAGAGCCCCTACCACTAATAATGCCCTTGTAGGACCTCATGATGTAAGAGCACCCAAAAACTGTAAACAACTAGTTGACAAGCCACGTAGGTGTACCTCTCAAGTGAGTTGCTACAAGTGTCATGAATTTAGTCATGTGGCAGCTCAATGTTTCACTCGTAGTCTTTACATCAATGAGCATGAACATAACCCTCATCCTTTTGATGATCCATTAGTCAAGATTGATGACTTAGAGGAAGAAACATATATTCCTGATCTTGAGTTAGTCCATGCATTTTCTGAAGAATTGAGCCTAATCATTTGTAAGCTCATGAGAGGTATCTTGATTAGCTAGCGAGAGAACCTTAGGTAGACAACAATCTTTTAGACTTTTATCAAATTTAGGTCAATCATTTGTAAGTTCATCATAGATAGTGGTAGTAGTATTAATAGCATATCTCAAGATGTCATTACCAAATTAGGATTGACCATGATAGATCACCCTAACTCATATAAGGTGTCATGGGTGAACTCCACACACATCCTTGTCTAAAAATATTGTTTAGTATCCTCAAGGTTAGTTCTAATGTGGATGTCATCCATTGCAACATACTACCAATAGATGTTATTATCTTAGGACGACCATGGTTATATGACTATGATGTCACATAGATAAGTAGAATGAGTACATATTCATTCACCTGTAGGGGGAAGAAGATAGTATAGTATTCTCAACTCTCTAGGCTAAATCAAGGCCAAAATTCTACATCAGCCATACTAGTTCCTTGTCTAAATTTTATTACCATCTATACCCTTCATAAGGAGTTTGAGACAAGATCTCCCATATGGTTTCTTTATATAAAAGAAGTCATTATAAAGACACCACCGGATGCACCATACAAACAGCTCATAGATGTGCAACAGCTCGTAGAAAGATATAAGGACATCCTTCCCAATGACATACCTTATGAGTTACCACTTATGCAAGACATCCACCATGTCATCGATCTAGTACCTAACTCATCCTTATTGAATTTACCTCACTATAGGCTTAGCCTCAAGCAGCACAATGAATTAAAATATCATATTACAAAGCTCTTGAAGAAAGGTTTCATTCGTGAGAGTCTTAACCCATGTGCAATCCCTACACTTCTCACTTTGAAGAAGGATGTGGCATGTCACATGTGTGTTGATAGTAGAGTTGTCAAAAAAATTACTATTAAATATTATTTTATAATACCTGAATTAGATGATATGTTAGATATGTTAGTTGGGTCTAACATTTTGCCTAAAATAGATCTTAAGAGTGAATATCATCAATGTTAGAATTCACCCCAAGGAGGAGTGGAAGACCACTTTAAGACTAAGGATAATCTATATGAGTGGTTGGTCATGCCATTTGGGTTGTCGAATATGCCCAGTATATTTATGTGACTCAGGACACCTGTTGAAATCTTTTATAATTAAATTTATCATGATTTATTTCGATGACACCTTGATTTATAGTCGAACCCATGAGAATCATTTACAGCACCTTCATTTTGTTTTTGAGGCCCTTATGATAGGTACGTTATATGCCTCTTAAAAAATGTGTCTTCTTCACTCATCAGGTTGCATTTCTAGGGTTTATAATCTCATCCTTATGTGTTTCTATTGACCCACAAAAGATTCAAGCCATTATTGATTGGCATGAGCCTAAGACCATCCATGACATTAAGAGCTTCCACGGGTTATTTTATCAGAGGTTCATTCAAAATTTAGTACCATCATGGCAATGAGGTACTTTTGTGTGAACAAAGGAGACAGCCAAAGACTTCAACATTATTAAAGAGCAGATGACTCAATCTCTTATTCTTAGATTACTTCATTATTCTAAAGTCTTTGAGGTAACTTGTGATGTCTCTAACATTAACATAGGTGGAGTATTAAGCCAAGAGGAGCACCCTACTACATATTTCAATGGGAAATTAAATCATTATAGAGTGAATTATTCCACGTATGATAAAGAATTATATGTTGTTGTGTAGTCCCTTTGTTATTTGAAGCATTATCTCCTTCTATATGAACTTATTCGATATTATGATCATGAGGCCCTTCAATTCTAGAGCTTTCAACAAAAACTTAACCCTCAACATAGCCATTGAGTAGAGTACATTTAGGTTTATAATTTGTCCTTAGTTGTAAATCTGGTTGTGAGAGCTTAGCCATTGATGACCTTAGTCATAAATTTCATTTGTTGTCACTCTTAACCCCTAGGGTTATCAGCTTTGAGAGGATGAAAGAGAGCTACCATGAGTGTTCCGATTTTGCTGTAGTCTTTACCGCCCTTAGTAAATGTCTTACTAGATGACATAAAGATTATATGATCTAGGATGGCTATCTCTTTAGGAAGCAGTAACTATGTAAACACAATCTTCTTTGAGAGATTTCCTAGTGTGAGAGCTGTACGCGAGTGGTCTCACGAGACACTTTAAGTAGGATAAAATCATCACTACAATGGAAGAACATTTCTATTGGCCTAACCTTAAGCGCAACCTCACTATGCTCATTACATTATTCCACGTGCACATTCATAAAGTTATATAAGCAAAACACTAGATTATATACACCCCTACCTATTCCAACATGACCTTAGGAGGATGTGAGTATGGATTTTGTGTTAGAACTACCAAGAACCCCCAAAAAGTATGACTCTATTTTTGTGGTAATCAATCAGTTTTCTACAATGTCTCATTTTATTCTTTGCTCCAAAAGTTATGATGGCTTTTGAATTGCATGCATTTATTTGATAAGGTTGTTAAATTACATGGACTACTAAAGACCATTACTTCTAATAGGAGTGTTCAATTTATGAGTTATTTTCAAAAAAACTCTTCGGCACATCATTAGGACAGTTAAAATATTTATTTATTCTTCACCCCCAAACTAACAAACAAATAGAAATCATTAATAGAAGTTTCAAAACCTATTACGATGTCTAATAGGAGACTATTTAAGGACTTGGGATATGATCATTCCTCGTGTTGAGTTTGCATATAATAGTTGAATTAATAGTAATACATGTATGAGTTCTTTCAAGATCATCCATGGCTATAAACCTAGAAAGCTCATAGACTTATGTTCCCTACCACTTCAATTAGGAGTGTCTATTTTAGTTTAGTCATTTACACAACATATTCGGAGTTTATATGAGGACATTCAACATTGCATTAGTATTAGTAATAAGTCTTATAGACATTTAGCAGATGCTTACAGATGCTTTAAGAGGACTATTTGTATTAAGGACTACATATAAACTTCATCCTCGTGGGGCAATGCCATTCAAAATTTTAAAAAGAATTGGGTCAAAAGTTTATGTTTTAGACCTTCTGCCATATTTAGGTATTATCTCTACTTTTAATATTGCAGATCTTGTTGCTTATCATAAATCCCCTAATGTACTAGGATCACCTTCCATCATTTTTCCTATGCAACATGAACAAATAGGTGATATATTAGATGAGTAAGTGATCTTTACTAATGGTGGAGAGTGACGAAGACTTCTAATTTGTTGGAAAGATTGTCCACCTTTAGATGACTCATGGATCACAGAGGACAATATTCGTCAAATTGATCCTAGTGTGGAGGAGCACTACAACACCAACTCCACCCTTCACTCAATAGAGTCAAGTTCCCTAAACTAGGGGAGAGTTGACATAAGACGAGGTGATGGCGAGCGGGACCCGTCTCCACCAGCTCAAAAGACACCAGCAGTCCGAGTTCAACCTGATCGATGTGCGAAGACGAAGGAGCCTGGCTTTCGCTACATGGCCTAGCCCTTTGGGATGACGACATTCCACCTCCGCGACGACGACGAGCTCGAGCTCACCCTTATCTTTCTTTATATTTTCATGTTGACTTGTTGGGCCTCACGTTTGTGTGTTAGCGGGCCCAATTCTATGTGTGTGTTGTTGTTTGTGTCTCCCTTTCTTTAGGGTTTTATTGGGTCTCTCTTTTGAGGCCCAATTAAAACCCTGAGGGGGGGGGACCTATGTTTCTTTTCTTTTGGGCCTCTTTTGGGGCTTATTTGGGTCTTCATTTGAGGCCCACTTAAGCACCGTACAAGGGCCTCCCTCTTTCTCCTTTTAGGGGAGCTTATTGAGTTTCTCTTTTAGAGGCCCAATAAGCCCCTTTTGTAACTTTTTTGTGGCTTATGGGCTTGAGGGCCTCAAGTGGGCCCACCTCCCCTTAGCCCACTTGTGAGCCCTATATAAGGGGAAGTAGGACCCCCCCTCAACAGGAAGCGTCGAATTTTGTGAGAGATTATCGTTTGTGAGTTACCTTCTTCGTGACCTAGGATAGGAAGGGAAGGAGGGAGAGGAAGGCCATCAATACCCTTTGAGGACTTCGTTCATTGTGACCCTGCTGCCTGAGACCAACTGCCGCCGCCGGACATCTTCATTGTCGCCCGTGAGATCGCCGCCGTCACCGGACGAAACGGTCGCAGTTGCTGCTGCAACTGCCACCACCTCTGTTGGAACCCCGTCACGCCGTTGTGATGAAAGGGGCTTGTTTCGCCTCCCTATGAGCCATCGTCGAGCACTCCGCCGGAGTCTCTTGACTCCTAGTTCGACTGCCCCCTCTTCCTTTAGAACTCCACCATAAACTCGTCGGAGCCGCCATCCGCCACTCCGCCCAATCGCTGGCCGTTCGCTGACGAATGTCTACCTGCCGCCACGTCGGGAGAGACCCTGCAACTGTGCCGACGAGCCAGATCTAGTCCAAGCTCCGCACAGGCCCCCGCCGGAGTTTCCCGACGATCCGCCGCCGTCGTGCCATTTCTGGCACCACCTAGACTAGGAGGGCTCAACCCTCCCTAGTATCATCGGCCGGGATCGTCTCATTCCTCTGCTCCGCTTCCCAGCGTCGCCAGAGAAGGCCGATCCTTCCAGCGACAGTTGGGCTTCCGCCCAACCGCCGATGCTCGGCATTCCTGCCGAAGCGCCGCCACCGCGCATGCCCCACGCACTGGCTCCTGCAGCCCACGCGCCCACCCGGTGCCACCGCCCATGTGCCCCGAGGCACGCCGCGTGGCTTGCCGTGTGCGCCCGCTAGCATGTCCTTCAGCCCACCAGTGGGCCCATGCCCACCGACCGCGCCACGCCTTACGACGACAACTAGTGTGACTCTCGACCAAGACCGACCGTCGACTCTGAGCATCATTCTTCACCGGACGTCTCTGCTTACGTCGAGTCTCTGCTCTGTCACAACCCGCCAGGCTATGCAGCCCCGAAGGTTAGCTCCGCACCCCTTCTTACTTAAGTTTAATTATCTTTCGAAGGGTTTTCTCGGCTCATTTCCACCGCCATCTGGAGAACGTAGACAAGATAGGAGGGGTTATAGGATCGTGACTTCTGATACTGTGTCAGACTCGTTACCGTTCATGAGCTGCAGCCTTAGGCTACTTCACGACGACCATTCCGCCATCTATCCGAACATGGACCGAGAGGGTCTCACACTTACCAACGTCGAGTGTTTCTCCAAGTTGTCCTAGGTTGATAGTGCATATTGGTACGCCTGCCTGTACTTAGGTTAGGTGGTCAGACCTAGAGTATAGGGTTTATACATTCTTATCAGATCGGTCCGACTGCCCCATCCCAGTTCTTGAGTTTCATTGATCAAGTATAAGGGTTCTCGCCCCATCCTACATCATGAGGGCTCAATCCGGACTTAACAGACTTGACAGAAGACTCAAGCTCAGCCAAGTAGAGTTGGGCCCAAAAGGCCACTGCAAATCCCAACGTGAATGCACCCGCCCAAAATCTGAAAATTTTTATTATTATTAGTGAGCTCTCCCTTAATGGATTTTCCTTTGTTTCACTTGCCTTTGTTTGGTTTTGTAAGGCCTATATAAGATTTACCTTCATTGTTTGTTGTCTCCCTCATTGTTTGGTTTTGTTTGGTTTTGTATGTCCCTTCCTCTTAGAGAGGACACTAGGATTTGAAGAATAGATTTACCTTCATTGAGGCTTCGTCGCCTGCTGCTGGTCGTGAAGACCCCATCACCCTGGTTGGGTTGGCTGTTAGGACCTCGTGCTCCCAGTTGGAGCTCTATCGCCGCCGTTTGTTGTCTCTACCAACAGAATCGCCGCCTTCTCCCTCCATTGCCGCCGTCCGCCTTCCACCCGTCTCCTTCGTCGCCGTCTACCCCGTTACCGTCTTTCTGCCATTCCCCGTCTCTTTCCACTGTCGCCATCCTACCTCCAGCCTGAGTTACCATCACCTGCCTGCCTAACCGCTGTTGCCTTCGACCCGCCATATTCCAAGTCAGCCACCCAGTCCGACGCCCACGGAGCAATAAGAGCTTAAACCCCGGGAGCTGTGGTTGTGCCATCACCCCCTTACCAAGATTCATCCCGTCACAGTCCACCGGGTTCATTTGAGTTGGGCCGATACCCGCCAAGTAGCTCCGTCGGACTCGAGTCGTATCCGGGCAAATAGCCAGCCTTCCAGTCTCTCCAGTCTCCTCCGGTCAACGGTCAACGATCGACCCCTCTAACTCAGGTCTCTCTGGTGACTTCTCTCGACAACTAGTACTCTCGACTCTTACTCCTAATAATCACTGCTCTTTTAATGTATTCTTCTCGTAATTGTCACATTTAGTGATCTTTATAAGACAGCCACCTTTCCTTCACATTACGTGTATCCTATGTTAAGCCAGATTTGTCTTATTGATTACGAGCACCCTACGCATATCAAGTTGCATGTCAGGTTCTTTGTATGCAAGGATAACAAGGTGATATCTTCAATGAATATTGATGTCGATTTAATCATAAAAGTATATCAGAATATGCTCAGATCGGAGATATGCTTCACAGTTCATATACTGATCCCGAATTCACCCACAGGTTACATTTTTCTATCCTTGCTTCCTGATCAAGCTGAGCATGTGCTGTTTAATGACCGCATGTATTTCAGAGAAGAGGGCTGGTCAACGACTTCATCCAGATTCAGATAGTTCTCGTGAATATCTCGTTTTTCTGCGACTCCAGAAAATTACAGTTTTTCAACCTCGTAAATATTTTTTTATATCCCTGTAAATGCAAGAATTTAACCAGTGAAGTGCGATATGTTGACGGAACAAGTTCTGAAACATCGTGGTGATTACATTGTCGGTCAAACCTTTGACCCCGGCATACAATAGTCCGAGAAAACCCAAAACGTGGGAAATTTTACTTCCTGTTTGTTTATTCCGCGTGGGTGCTTCGTCTGTCTCTCTCCCTTCCTCCCTGCCCCCTGTCCAGTCTCTGTTTAATGCTCTTCGGAGACGAAATCGGTATGATCCGTACCTTCGCGGTGAGTGCCATGAAGAGAAGTTCATGATCACCGCAGATTAGACCTCCTGCACATTCAAATCTATAAATATGAATCAAAACTCATCTCTTTGAAACGCGGAAAGAGTTGAAGAACGATGGTCAGGGCCTTGTTATACGCGTATGGTTCGGGTGCCCATGGCGGCGGCGGCTCAACCTACACAGTCTCCGGGACTCTCCTTCTCTTCTGCATGGTCGTGGCATCTCTATCCATCATTCCAACCATCCTCTTCGCCTGCGGTCATAGCGAAAGAAAGAAGAGGGAGAAGGAGATGAAGGAGATGAAGAAGAGGGAGAAGGAGATGAAGAAGATGAAGAAGAAGAAGAAGAAGAAATCTCGCGCCGACGAAAGTGACTACGGTGCAGGCTCTTGGTGCAGTTGCTGTGATGGCGGGGGAGACGGAGGTGGTGACGGTGGCGGCGGTGGCTGCGGTGGAGGCGGAGGCTGCGGCGGCGGCGGAGGCTGCGGCGGCGGCGGTGGGGCGAGCTAATCCTACTTTCCTGGAGCCACATACCGGATCCAGTTTGATTTGCCCTTGCCCCATCTTCCTCGATACACCGTCAGAGGGACAGAGTTTAGGCAATGGTTGTTCCCCAATTCAGCTGTTAAAAAATCCATACCCAAACCTTTTTATTCTAAAAAACATATGCATTTTCAAGCCCCAAAAGTCAGCTGGATCGTTGAGGAAGAAATCTTTGACTAGGTTGATCCGGTATCCATCTCTCGCTATCTCTCCCTAAAGATTTTACGAGTAATACTAAATTAAAATGTCAGACAGGAGCACGTTACATCAAATGCGAGACGGTGTAAGACGTGGCGGTGGTTCCCGGGAAGGTGACGGTGGCGGCGGCCCAGATGCGGCTGACCTTGGGGCGGCGGCTGTGTGATGGGGATTGATGCACTCTCCTTCCATTAATTGGGTGGGTTGGATAAGGATCACGCGAGTTGACTAGTCAAGGCTTCTAGCGGCAAAATGATTCCGTACATTTGACTTAAAAGGTTTAATAATTCAGACAGAAAAATATGTAGAATTTTAGACCTTATAAAACCAATAATCTTCAGAATCCGCTAAGAAAAATTGGGCCACGTTTACATTCGTTTTATCTAGAGTTTGGCATAATCTTTCAAGACTCCAAATCATTGTGATATCTACTCATTACTATAATGATATCTGCATTGCGGGGATAATAATGTAATATTGCAAATAATTGTTTTATAAATAATAAATGAGTAACTATTATTCACGGAAAATCTATTCTAGTAATTATTATTCCAAGGACTCTATAGGCTCATATCTAACACTTATTCAGAAGCAATTTACAGTGATTTCCTTTGCTCTCTTGTACATCAGCGTGGCATTGGTTCTTCCGATTGTTGGATTCAACCTTCTATTATGCTCCAAGACAATCCTAAGAGAATTCAATTTTCTTCCCGTGTAACACTACATAGAAATTCATCATCACCATTGCAATCATAAAACATAGAATAGGAACCAATCTTAACCTTGTTCTTAAACCTATTAAATATTTAAATTTGAGCATAAGGCTTTGCCTTGAACAAATAAGTTAAATTTAACCAAAAAAGTGTTTCACTTGAACAATATTTCCATTATTTTGGTTTGGTTGGAAGATTGTTCCAACCTAGATAGGCTTTGACTTTTTGTACCCTAATCCATTGTCCCTTCTAATCCCCACAGTCTAACTTTTATGTAAGCAACAGGAGTTCAAAATATTTGATTTCCAACATCTATTTGATGAACAAGCCTCCATGCTTGAGATCAATTTTCTACTATTACCTTCATCTTTGAAGTCACCTTTGGCTAGTTAAACCTTCAGGTATTTGATGAAAATCCAGTGCCAAAGGTGGACTCGATTTAAATAGAAAATTGGGTCTTTAAAATCATCAAAAACTCTAGTGCAGAATATGAGAAAAAAAAAAAAAAAAGTCATTATAGGCATAGAGACTCAATGAGATTTTAAGAGTAGTTCATAAAAGAGATGAAAGGTTCCACACAAATGAGATCACCCTTCAAATTTCTTGGAACAAACACGAGGGTCCAAAACCCTAAAGAGATAGAAAGGGAAGGATTTCTTGAATTACATTTTCAGGGTTAACTATATTTTGGCATTCACTTCTACGTCTTTCATGAACAAATGAAGATAAATGAATTAATTTTATTGAGAATATACTAGCCCACGGGTACAGATGCTCTTTAAAATATTAGTCCCACCAATAACAAAATTAAATCAAATGTTACAATCAATTATGCACTGCAGGAATTGCAATGTTGCTACATTTTTTGTCGCCAGAATTATTAGAACGATACTATAGTTTTAGATTTAATATTGTCTTTCTATATACAATAGTTTGAGATTTAGTTTGAAATTTATATACGCTTGTGTCTAAATTTCTCCCATCAACATTCAATGCTATTTTCACATTTCGGTGCTCTACTGTCTACTCGTGTGCGTACTAATTTGTTAGATGATATCCCTACTCTAAATGGAAACAGATTTCATGAGTGAGATGAAAAGAAATAATTGACATTATATTTCATAGAGTTTGACTCTATCTAGCATGAAAAAGAACCTTCTAAGCGTGTGGATGATGCAAGTCAAACCCAATCAGATTTGTAGGAATAGTGGGAGAAATTTAACCTTTTAAATCTAATGTTCATGTAAGCCAATATTAATTAATATATATATATATATTAAAGGATAAATTCTATTTTTTAAGTTGGCTAAGAACTTCCTTGAAGCAGATGAAAAATAATTTTAACATTCTCATAAAACATTGGCCAGCACATTTTGTCAAAGGTATCATCCCTGAAGTGGATCTTCTAAGCAATGGGTGCACATTATAAAATGAGCAATTTTCCTTGTCCAATCCACCATCTTGGGAGCTCATCCAGCTACCTTAAATAAAATTTAAAAAATTATCGTCTAATACGGAAAAGCAAATTATTGACAGGAAAATGAAACACGCAAGCAGAGTGAAGAAGAACCGTTCCTCGTCTTTGAGAATAGTTTAGATGGAATAGGGCCTGAATCAAGGCATATACAAAAGCTTACAGACCAGACCTTCACCTTTAAGATCTGTGAACAACCAAAAAAAAATCAAATTGTCTTATTGTAATTCAATATGAGGGCATACTATCAGAGAATATCATAGTCGCCATCCTTGAAATATTATTTTCATTAAAACGAACTTGTCTAGTCTTTAGAGGGGAGAAAATTCTTTCGAAGGTCTCACAGGGAAATCATACGGTCCTTAATTAAATCACGAACCAAGTTCCCTTGTTCAGTACCGATTTGGGGAGTCAAGAAGTTCCAATTTCGTCTGTGATGAATACATTCCCTCTTAATGAAATAAAATATCCTTAATGGTTGATTTTTACCAACTGACGTTCTTAAATAAAGCAAATATATATTTGACATAAGTTAAATCTATAAATGATACAATCTTAATAAACCAACCAGAAATCTCTGATTGTGTTAAAAAAAAATTATTTATTTCCAAAATGGATGAATAAAATATTTCCCTGCGTGTCCTAATAAGCTTCCTCTTGTAATAGTCATGATTATAAATAGATAGTCCCTTACCACAAATTTATCTATAACCTTTCAGAAGACTGTAAATGTTGCGCAGCATCACACTACTTGATATAGAAGGAAAAAGGTCCTAAGCATCTGAAGCTATACCCAATGATTCAACCTATTATCATGATTCAAACAGGCAATTTATCCACGTTCTCAACGTTCCAATTTAATCCGTACCACTAATTCCATATGAATCTCGAAGAGCATTTTCGAGAGAAACCCTTGGAGATTCCTGGTTATGTATTCAGTTTGCGTGAAAATGGAAAGTTTGTAGAGAAATTTGTGTTATTGGAGGAATTCGGGATATTGATACTTTTGAGTAAGACCACTATGCTTCTTTGGCACCAGAAAATTAGACTAAAAGCACCATAAAAGGAAGAAAGATTAAATTGGTTGAATTCATCAGGCATAAATGCTCAAGAAGCAATAAAATCTCCAGGTCCAAGCATATTTGAGGCCGCATGTAAGTAATAGTCAAATGAAGAGTCTACAGAACAGGAGATGCTATAGCACACTTGCTATCATAATCGTTGAAAGATCAGATCACATGGGACATACTTTCGCATGATAGTATAAACACAACATGGTAGTACTCGGACTTCCATTGGACTGCTCATCAAGTTAGTTCGACAAGTGTGAAGTAAGGGCAGGGACCTTATCAGCCATCACAGTTAGCTGCTAGAGGAAGTAAGAAAAGACACAGCACATGACACCCAAACAGACTTCCGGATGCATTTCTTAATGGTTATGATGTTCCAACTGATGAACGCATCACCATCCACAATCACAATTTTACAATTCCCATTCAGCAGAAAACATCAGGACCGGTAAATACCCGTTCACCCATAGCAGACACATGGAAAACAGCATCAATCAGCCAGAAGGAAAGAGTCACCGTCTTCTTACTCTGCATGTTTTGCTGCCCTCCAAATGTAATCAAAGGAGAAAAGGCATCTCCAGTTCTGACCTGCACACGAGCTACTGCTGGACGTAGTAGTAAGCCAATTGGTCGCCGGAGGGCGCCCCAAGGGCACGAGGGATGACGTCGTCCCGTGTATCCTCACGAGGGACGATATCGACGAGGAAGTCGAAGACGTCCGTGCGGGTGATGGCGGCAGCGATGTCATTCTTCTGGAGGGTGCGGCGCTTGTTCTCTTCGGCGTGGGCCCAGGAGCGGTGGGTGAGGTCGAGGATGAACATCTCGCAGGCGCGGGCGAAGACCACGGGGGCCTCCGCGGCAATCATCCGCACATCCTCGTCCGCCTTCATGATCTTCTTGATGCGGGCCAGCGGCAGGCTGTGGTTCTTAAAGTCGGTAGTCTGCTCGATCTCCCGGTACTGATCCGCCCAGAACATCTGCAGCTGCTGCTGTTGCTGCTGTTGATGCTGCTGCTGGTAGATGTGCTGGTAAGCACCGTACGGCCCGCCCGCCGGCGCGCCGTACGGCATCGTCGCTGCCACCCCGATCGCCGGGTGCCCTACGTGATCCTTCTGCTCCATCACCTTCCCCAAAACAAACTAAACAAAGCAAAAACCATAACAAAAAACCGTCAATAACAAGCTCTTCCCTCCACGAAGAAGAACAACAACAACAAGATTCGTGAGAGATAAGATACAATCCCGACCTGATTGACTGGGGAAGGGATTCAATCGGCCGTCCTCTCCTCCTTCTGACGCTAGTCCAAGCCTAATTGTCGAGGTGTCCACCCTTCTGCGTGCGCCCGACGGAAATGACCAGGTTTAGATCAGAAACCCTAGGTTTAGATCAGAACCGGAGCTCGATCTGATGCCTCGACCTCCTCCGCCTTCATCCTCTCTTCCCTCCTGCAATTTGCAATTGGGGGAGGAAGAAGCAGCGTAGTGCCCACTTCCCGAGGAGGGGCATTTTGGGGAGTGAGTGGAAATATACTATATTGGACCTTTTGAATGGGCTTGGTAGACCCAGAGGCTGGCCCATTCTGTCGGGCCTGGAGAAAAGTCAGCCCAGCCCGAACCCCACCGAGCCCGATCCAAGCATTTCTGGGTTCTCTCTCCCTCTCCCCTCCCTCTCTCTATCTATCTATCTATATATATATATATATATCTCTCTCTCTCTCTCTTCAAAGACAAACCGACACTCACTCATGCCAGGGAGCGTCTGCTATGAATTACAAGCCATATGAACAGTCAGCCTTCTGTACCAGAACAGGGCAGCAAGGACTCCCTCACTCACAGTTGAAATCTTCATCACATACTGCACCAAAAAGAGGACCAGAATATCACACACACCCACTCACACCCCCATACAACCCTTTCAATCTATTACTTTACACACCACAACCACACCCATCATCATCATCACCATCGTCATCATCACATCAAACCAGCCGATCCCCCGCGGTTGACACAGGCTGCCAGCCGCCACTGCCGCCGTCGAGGCGGCAAACCGCCATCTGGGCATCGGCGGAGATTTCCGAAATTGGAAGGGAGAAGAAGAAGCTGATGATGCTAGCTCCGAGTCTTTGCTCTCTTCAAGCCCAGGCTGTCATGGAAGGGAGAGCTTGGCCCGCTGGAGCCCTCCTCCCGAAGCGTGCCGTTCAATAAGGCCAGCTCCCTCAGCTGATGCTTCTTGAAGAGATCGTGGGTTTCATCCTGCATCCATGAGTGTGGGCAGATGAGATTACAATGATGATAATGATGATGATGATGATGATGATGGTATATGATTGTGATACCATGGGTTTCAGCAACTCTTCGAGAACCTCGCGAGCTTGCATCAGGCGGGCATCGACAAACTCGGCCGGCAGCTCGGCCTCAACGAGGATATGGAGGGACTCATTCAGATGCTCGTACCCAGGTTTTCCCCGCATCATTTCTTCCTGCCGGAGAAATTAAGGGAATCATTAAAATTCGTGGCATATTATCAATAATCATATGACGATGAAAGAAAAGGAAGGACTCCAGAGCACACCAGGAAATATCAATTCGCTCACGACCCACTAATGATGGTAATTATTTCCATCTTGGGAAAACATTATTATAGTAAAGCAATGTGGGTAATCTATGGAATAATAATTAAAACGAGTAATTATCCGAGCTGGGTCGTCATGCTTTTTTTTTAATATAATCTTACTCTAGCTAGGATATCATATGATCCCAAACGAAGAGAAAGGACTCTTGAGTAGGAGGGAGCATTTCTTGTCAATATATTTTCCCTTGATTTCTTTGCGACTTGCTAAAATACAGCATTATCTCCACCTGGGGAAAAGACTATGGTACCAAAAATAGTAAGAAATTTAGATTACCCGAGCTGGGTCTTTGATGCTGCCCCGGCCACGGATCAGAATGCGGCACTCTGTGATCGCTTCCACCCTCTTCAAGGAGTTCCCTCGTGGGCCGAGAAGCCGCCCGACAAAGTTGTACTGAAAGAAGTGAGCTCCTCAGGCCTTGGTTCAAAAAAGGGACTTCTTGGGCTGAATTCAGACAGAAGGTGAAGAACGAACCATGGGATATCTGTCAACGGGGACATCCACCCTGATCGTCTTCTTCACAATGAGTGCAGAGGAAGTGCCCTGTGCACCAGACCAGCCATTCCAAGATGGAGACTGTAATAGTCCCAGCCTCTGCAGGTTTTCACTCAAGATGTCAGCCAGGGAAGAGAGATGGAACAGGTGACATCAAGATATTTCTAATGAGGGATTCTGTCTGATGTTGTCGGAGTACAAAACCTAAGGATTCTACAACACTGGAAGAGTTAAAAAAGAGAATTTTCGAACGAAATTGGTCAAAACAGAAATATGATTTAAGAAATTCTGAATTGTCATCAAGTGACAGAGAATGACACAAAATAAAAAGAGGATTTATCAACATATCATCAAGTGATATGTTCTTTATGCATTTTTTAATTGGTTTTGCATAGCTCTTGGACCCTGTCCCTAGCAAGCCAGCTTTACACGCATGAGTTCCCTTCTAGGGGCTCCATCTGTTCATGAGAAAATGTTAATGTGGAGATGAAAACATGGATTCATAAACAATGTCCTGATGTTAAATTGACGACATTTTACTCGATAAAGTGTTTGCCAAGGCCGAATACACTGCCTGCTGAAGATGTAACCCCCCCGCCCCCCCCAAAAAAAAAGTGAGGTTAAACAATAATCTCTTGAACAGAGTCAATGCCTGAACATGAAAACTATCACACGAACAAGTGCACCAAGAAGGAGACAGATCGAATAAAATTCAGCATGTGATCATCAAATGACACAATTTTACGAATGTGGGAGCATTTGAAAACATTTCAGAAACCTTAGCAAAAGGAAAGTTGACTAATTCAGATCATTCTGAGAGATGTGCCATGAATGCTATGAGTTGTTTTAAAAAATAAAATAGCAAAAAGAATTGTCAACCCAAAGTTAGCATGATGAGAAACTGTGTCAAGGGCTCAGCCACATAAATAGAAATGGCATCGGCATGAAATGTCCGAGTGGCATCAACGACGATTCTGGAGATCAGGACAAGTACATAAAAAAGAAAATTATGTTAATGGTTAGCGTCCATACTTCTGATTGAAATGGAGACCACCCATTCACATCACCAGCTTGCCCATTTGAAAACAATCCTCCACTACTCTGTGAACTACCAAGGTCAAGCCCACTTTGGTCTAAAAGTGGTCCATTCCCCAACAGTATTGTTACACGCAAAATTTCTGCTTCAAAAGCCAAGTCCAAGCATAAGATGCAGCAGTTAGCAATTGTTGATAAATTAGTTGCCACAAAATAGGGCAGACAATAACGCCCAATCATGTATGTTAGTCTACACAAATTCGAAGCATTACCAAGCCTGCACTATTTTGAAATTCCTCAAAGAAATTGTACAAGAGCGACTCACATTTATAGAAAAATATGCAACGTAGGAATATCACTTTTGAGATCACATGTCTTCGGTTAAAAATAACGAACACTAGCTTATATTGACTTCAAAAGATTTATTGATGCAGCCAAAAAGACTCAAGTTAGTAAAGCGTACTCAAGTTAGTGGGCAAATGCCATAATCAACATGGAACGAAAATATAAATGTAATAGGGAAACCAAGAATGATAGGGCATGCTTCTAAATCTAAAACATAAGCTACAACAGTCTGGAATTTATCACTAGGGATTGTCATCTTCTTACAACACACTACAAGTTGGACCCATAAATCAGTTATGGCCACTCAAAAGTTTATATTCATGGATTAGATCGGCAGAATCAGACAGAACCCAGTTGACCTTCAAATAACCTATTACATCGGTTCATCTTCTCTTCTTCTTGCATTACTTCTTCCATTTATCACTCTGCACACAAATCCTTCTTTTGCTGAAAAAGCAGATAAGATCCTAATTTCGAATCCATAGTCATAGTTTTCACTTGACCGAATTCTGCCCGAGTCTGATCATACGCACCTTTTCTTCAAGGTCATATTAGGAAGAACATGGCAAGGGATTAAAAGACAAAGGACAGGAACAGGTTTTTTTATGTGCCTTCTAATAGAGACATGCATATAGCAGGAATCAAACTTTGATACTAGCAAATTCATGGTTCTTTTGGATAAATATTCCAGAAGTCCTCGCCCTGACACCCACTAAGTAGCCTAGAATTCAAGGGGCAAAGTAAGATGTAAAAAGTTAACTTGAATGTACTTTCTAAATTCAAACTGTTTATAGAGGTTACTAAGGCTCCAACTCAAGCCCTCTTTGTAAAAAGAAATCTCAACTTTTTGAGCCATTTTTTGTCTCATGTTGATTAGTTTTATCCACATGGAGACTCTCTCGCATCAGTAACAGTGAGATAACCATATATGGGTTACAAGTTCCAAGAGATCCTCATGAAAATATTGGCACCATGTTTTGATTTTACCCTCAAACACTACTAACCAAAAAATACTGAAATCCTTGTTTTTTTTTTGTTTTTTTTTTTTTTGTTGTTTAAAGGACATCTGTAACCACAAGCACCAAGAGTCCAGCAGAGCAATACATATGTAGCAAGTCGGAACTAAATCTGATTAATAACTACAAGAACCAAGGTAGAGAAGATGATAGACTTTACCATGGCAGCATCAGGACAACTAGCGGGAAAACACTATATATAGATCCCCTCCAGCAGCACTTCTTATACAGCATCCCTAATCACAGACTTTACTTTTTAGTTCTCAATCTCTCTACCTTAAGGAATTTAAACGACATTGTTGGGTGAGAAATTTCCCTCCACCGAACACATTTGAATTAGGGTTTTGGGGACTGTATCCTTACCCAAACTATATCATCTTCTTCCTCTCATTCCTCCCGTCTCATCAATATCACAGTGCCCTTTCCAAGCATCAGCAAGAAAACCCAACCCCCTGCCACTCATACAACTCCCAGCTTAAATCTACGTGTATCTAGTCCATTATTCATTATTTTCAATAGAAATAAAATGGAAAATTGTCTCATAACACCAGGAAGGACCACAATTCGAAAATTATTTGATATGAAATTAAAAGATACGTCGACAGCCATCTTCCTAATTGTAGCCTTTCTAAATCACTAACCTTGATAATAATATAACACCTCCGTCAAAAGGAGAATGCCCACTATAAGAAGTCAATTCTATAGTCATGATCACAAGATTCTTAGAATTAGCAGATAAGAATGGGGCATCCAGTCCTACAACTAACATAATTGCAAATGCCGACTCCATCTTACAAACCAAAAAGAGGACAGGAACATCTGCCCTACGAGATCAACTTATTTCCCCTCTATAATCGTTTGACAGCCATGACAGTAGTGTTGAGGAGAAATATTAACGAAATATTAACGAAAAATTAACCACTATTGTTATTTTATGCTGCATAACTATCTTCAAGACCATATATCCAATCTACATAAAAGAATATTTGTCATTTTTACGCAGAACACTCAACTACAGATAGAAATGTTAGCTTACTAAGCACTTTATTCAACGTAAAAGAGAAGGAAAAATTACTCATTAAAATCAAACCAACGGATTTAAAAGACAATGAAATGTAAGATGATAAAATCAGTGGAAAGTAGAGACCAAAGCAACAAACAACAATTCTAGAGTTAAAATCATTACTACTGTATGCACCTAACATGGGATCACTACTGCACAAAAGCAGGTAACTATAAAGTAAAAAAATCGTTTACAATTATTTTCACACTAGAGTTAACAAGTGATGTCTGCATCTTAACAGTCACTAAAGCTACGATGGAGTTTGACAGATTACCCTGGTTCAGCAATCCACTACAGTGCGGCAGAACCTGTATAAAGGGGTTGAGCTTTTTACGTTCTGCCAGAAGCTCAGACAAATACCTGCAACCAAAATTCACTCGTTAGTATCATTAAAGTTCCTCTAAAAAAGTAAGAAGGTTCGAGTCCACTAGCCAGAAATTCTTTCAGATAGCATCAGGCCGTCACGCTCAGCAAAGAATAGCAACAAGGGCTAGGAAAATAAATTCAACAAGGTTATCTCTTTCAAAAATCCAAAAAGCTCCCATGGAAAGGATCACTGTTGCTTCACAAAGACACCAAAAAAAGAAAAAATGGCCAGGGATAAAATCCAAAACCACAATCATTCCCGGTAGGAACACGCACCAGAAAGTGATTAAACGAAACGCAAAACGTCCAAGCTAACAAAACAATGAAAATTACGATTAAAATCGCAGAAAGATCCACTCAACCATGCAGCAAAGATGAAGAAAACCAAGAATTCAGAAACAAACCATCACCACCCCAACCTACACCCCCGGACCGCAATAGGACACGACCAAACTGGAAGCCGGTAACGCGTAGCAGAAGCAACAACCCAAGATAGTAACCGACCGAAATTTCCAGAGGATACAATCATCCAAATCAAAGGTAGCATGACGGGCATACTTCTCCTGCTCCACCAGCGCAGCAGAGGCGGCGCGCATGCCGGAGATGTGATGTGACTGCGGAGCGGTGGATGGAGAACGCGACGGGGAGTACCCCATGTACCTGCCCGAAGACATGTCTTCTTGGTTCCCCTTCCACCAACAAGATTCAACCCCCCTGACCTCCGCACCGATAACAAGGGTCCCCGTTGCCCGTTGCCCGCCGCCAAGATGTGCCCGTCTCTCTCCTCCGTTGACCCCGCCCCACGCTGCGGAACCGGGGCCGTAGCGGGCGGTGATCGGGGTCAGTCCCCATTGCCGAAGATTAGGTTTTTATAGGCGACCGGAGAGGGGTGACTCCAGTAGAGGAAGACGAAGAGAACGCCGACGAGTCTCACCCTCACTGCGCTTCCTCCCCCCTTCTTCACTTTGATTTTCTACCCCTCTTGTTGACTCCCCTCAGTCAACGGGCCGAGTCGGGGCCTGTTCCCCCGAGCGAAGCCCGTTTTCTTGCCCGGCTTAGCCAGAAAAAACCCGGTTCGACATATCCAGAGACTTGTCACATTCGGGCTTAACTTGCCTTTTTTAATTAGCCCGAATCGGGCCCAAAATTTTATTTTATGGGCAATTTGTGATGACCCACACCAATATAAGCATAATGTTCACGGTATGCACAACATTTACAATATCTATTTATAGATCAAGACAAAAGATCTAACAATATCTACCAATTATGTAAGAATCTAAGAACTTAGCATGGTGTTTTAGGCATAATAGTTTGACATTCATTAGAAGGGGAGAAGGCACCATAATATCAACTAACACTCTAGCTAAGGTAAAATGTTGCATGATAACATCTTAGATACCCAAGAACTACTAACATTAACTTATTATGTAAGAATCAAAGAATGTAGTATGATGTTTCAAGCATACTGGTTTGACATTCATCAAAAGGGGACAAAGGCATCATAATAGTAGCTAACAGTCTAGCCAAGTCAAAGTGTCACATGATAACACCTCATGTACCTAATAACTACTAATATCAATTAATTATGTAAGAATCTAAGAACTTAGCATGATGTTTTAGGCATAATAGTTTGACATTCATTAGAAGGGAACAAGGAACCATGATATCAACTAACACTCTAGCTAAGGTAAAATGTTGCATGATAACATCTTAGATACCCAAGAACTACTAATATTAACTGATTATGCAAGAATCAAAGAATGTAGTATGATGTTTCAAGCATACTGGTTTGACATTCATCAGAAGGGGACAAAGGCATCATGATAGTAGCTAACAGTCTAGCCAAGTCAAAGTGTCACATGATAACACCTCAAGTACCTAATAACTACTAATATCAATTAATTATGTAAGAATCTAAGAACTTAGCATGATGTTTTAGGCATAATAGTTTGACATTCATTAGAAAGGGACAAGGCATCAGTTTGACACTAGCTAACAATCTAGCTAAAGCATACTGTCACATGATAACATCTTAGATACCAAAGAACTACTAATATCAATTGATTATGTAAGAATCAAAGAATGTAGCATGATGTTTTAGGCATAATATCTTGACATTCATCAGAAGGGGACAAGGTATCATAATAGTAGCTAACAATCTAATTAAGTCAAAGTGTCACATGAAAACACTTTAGGTACTTGTGTGCCCCTATATAAGAGATAAACCCCAACATGTGGGGGGGTAGCTTGTTCTTCCTTATCTTATATATCCAATTTATGTGTAGAGTGTGTACTCCATTTTTGTTGGATCTCATTGAAAATTTGATGTCACAGAGGATGCCCTATGTTTGTCATATGAGTAGATTATGTGTTGTTAAGAAATCCCCAGATGATGCATAATGTTGCCCACTTTACCCCCATTTGATTCAATTTATTTGATACTTTTCCCATTTACCTTGGTACAACACACCAATCTATTTGGCCCAATTAAATATAGGCCCAGTATGCCCAATTAAGTATAAGCCCATCTCTTCTAGCTTTTTCTTTAAAGCTGATGCGGCTCATCTATAAAATATTCGCTCACCTAGGCCCGGTCTGAGACCGTTAGGGGTATATGTATAATTAAATACAATATGAGGGCTATAAAACGACGTCAGAGTTTCAAACCCAGAAAAGCAGAGTAGACGCTTCAAACTAGCCGTTATACGTCTCCTTCCTCCTTCCACCTCCTCCAGCTGTGGTTCCTCAAGAAACCCCCAGTAGTACTAGTATTCGCTCTACCCTCGAGTTCTTCCTCGCCACTTCGTACTGGGAGCAAATTCCTCTCTCCATCCGAGATTCGGGAAGAAAAATGTTTACCGAAGGGCTCGACGAGGCGGCCATCAGTTGGGTGAAGCAGGTGGGCACTCCGAGCTCCCCCTTCTGATCCATCCTTCAGATTTCCTGCTCTTTTTCTCGACCTTCGTGTTCTTGTTTCCTCCATCTGAAACCGTATCGTTTGATTTTTCCCTGTTTAATCGAGTTTTTTGTAGATGAAGACCCCACTTCGGTTTCTCCTCCCGAAACCCATTTTGGAGACAACACGATTGCGTGCTTCCGATTCTAGTTTTTTTTTTTTTTAATACTCGATTTCTTTCGGAGCTTGGAATCCGGTGGTATTAATTTGGCTAATTCATATTATGCGTTGGAATCTATCATCTCAACTGCCGCAGGGATCCCATGTCGATCAAAAACCGCGGTCTCCGCTCGCCGAGAAGATCCCGCTGGGTCCGATCCCACCAGATGCGCCCTCGCTGTGCAACAGAAACAGCTACTTATCTTCGTCCAGTGCTCTTCCCCCTCTGAAGTTATACTCCAGCTTCCTCGGCCCAATCCCAAGCTTGAATCTCGATTTCAACGACGATGATGACGACGACGACAAGGAGAGCATCGCCTCCGCTCCAAGCGGCGTCAACTTCAGCTACTCCGACTCTGTCGACGAGGAATGTCTGGCATCGAGCGATTCCGATTTGCTCGAGAATCCGACCGGCCGAAACGGCGAGGAGGAGGTGATCAATTCCTACGTGACCTCTGGTGAGGAAGCAGCGAGCGAGAAAAATTCCACTCACCGCCCGACGTTGGTCAGAGGCCCTTCTTGGGAGAACCTGAAGATTGAAGTTCCAGTCAACGCTAGAGGGCTGATGTTCAGGGATATGGGAGCCAATGGATCCTCGGCTGGGACCTCTTTTTCATGGAACTATCCCCATAATCATGATCAGATTGGAAACCTCAGTTCAAGGGTAAGACGACTAGCTCCCGGTTAAGCTAACTATTCTATCTTAATAAGAGCATCGTCGCTGGTTCTTAGATTACTTGATAAAATTCGGTTTTTAATGAGTCTTCTGCACATGATTTAGGGTCAACAGCCGATTGGAGCTGTTCCTCCGGCCCCTTTCGTGGACATTGGTACCCCAAGCGCTCCCCCTATCATGGAAAATGGAAGAGAAGAACTTCGGATTTCGGAAGATGAACGAGAGGCAACGATCCCCGGCATAGATGGGAGAGACTGGACGCTACCCACTGATGGCAGGGAAACCATGGGGATGGAGCAGGAATCAGATGGCGTGGAGGCACGTCGAGAGAAGGAGACCATTTCCTCGGAGCTGAAGCCGCAGCTGAAGAACATCGATGATCCTTGGACCACTCTGCCCAGCTACCACAGCAGCAACCATAATGCATGGCAGACCTTCGTGGCATACGACGCCTGTTTCCGCCTGTGTCTGAATGCGTGGGCGAGAGACTGTATGGAGGCGCCGCAGTTTCTCCAAGACGAGTGCTTTCTTCTGAGGAACGCATTTGGGTGTGTTGATTACTCAACTGAGAGCTTCAGTCACCGAAATTCAGCCTCCACTTTTGAAGGAGAACCCCTCTTTCTCTTTACTTAGAGTGATGGGTCTCCTCTATTCTGCAGATTACAAAGGTTTTTGTTGCAACCGAGAGGCCAAGCATTGAGGGATGGAAGGTCCTTTGACAGTCCCAAGGAAACTAGCGGTGTGAAGGAGAAGAAGGTGGTGGGGAAGATCAAGGTTGAAGGTACAAACCTGTATGACAATTTGTGAAAATACGTGACAGAAAATGAGTAGTGTAACTTGAATTGGTGTTCTTCAAATTTAAGGTAGATCTGTGCTCTTGGGACCTAAGAAACATATTAGATTGGCACATAAATGGAAAAACAGTGCTAAAAGACCTTGCCTCCGGGTGTAGATTAACTTGGGTATATTGCTGAAAAGAGATCCAAAACATTCAATCACCAGGAACTTTGTATGATATTAAATGTTGATCATTGGGATATATAATACGTCTATGTTTCCGTCCACTTGATGGCCAGAGAGTGGATGGAATTCTCAAAATAATAGGTTTGGCAAAAGTTTTTTTTTATGGATTCTTATTTTTCGAAGTAATTTTCTTGCATCACTCTACTTTACAGAAAATGGGCCCATTCGTTCTTAAGAAAGTCTATTCAAATTTACTGTCCAGTAACATCTCCAATATGCGGATAACATTTTTTTATATTCATTTACATGCATTTCAGATAATGAAATACATGTAAGGTCATGTTTGCATCTACCCTTCCGGGTGAGCCTTTCTAGTCAAAATCATCATCATAATTTCATATTTTTATGAGCGGCGGCAAATTTCTCAGAGAGAAGAGAAGTCACTGATCGATGTCTTCGTTTGAAAAATTGTCAGAAATTATCAAAGTATTAGCTTCCAGAAGAAGAAAAACATACTAACAACATCATTCGTTGAGATTTTAAAGGGTAAATTGTATTAAAAAAATGGTTTTCTTAATCAATATCCCTAAATTTATTGTCTTATCCAATTTTTAGTCACTGACTTGTGGAAGTGATCCATGAACGACAGTCAAGAAAGTTCGGATGGTACCACAGAGAAAACTCCATGGAGAATACTCACCAGGAGCTTTGCTTGTGAAATCTGGAGCTGAGTACGTTCGACAGGCCTCAGCATTGCTGAGGACTCAGATTAATTCCTTAAAGACAGCCTCATACCCTGTTGCACAAGAAGGTGATGCACTTATATCATGATTCACACCATCTTTCATCTTCAATATGAGAATGGCCACCTCTTCTAACGTGCACTTGCAGATTCTCTTTATTGCTTGCTGTCATTGAGAAGCTCAACCGAGGAGGCACATGAAGATAAAGCTCCAGCTGTTTGCTCACAACCAGGGAGTGGGGATTCTCATATCTTGTAAGTCTCCAATGACATCACCGGTAGTCTTAATCTTGTGGAAAATTCTAATTTATAAATTATACATTCCAAACTCTAATTTATGTCGAAGTAGATCGAGAAAAAAATATATTTCAACCAGGATTCATGGCATGCTACTCTGAAGAAAGAGTTCAAAACCATATTTTATAAATTTTAAAAAAAACATCTGAATTTTGTGTTTTGATAGGAATTGCTTATATTTTATTGATTCATTGCATCTTTTTATTAAATAATTGACGACATAATCGTTCTGATGCATGCCATTTTAGAAAAAAGCTCATCGAATATGACTATATGGATTCTCCTGCTTGTTGTACCCTATTATTTTCTTAAAAAATCATCTCTATTTCAAGCTCCCGAGTTCTATAAATGGATAGTTTTATGGAAATGGGTTCTAAATCATATGATCAATGTAACGTGAAAATCAATTGGCAGTTACCCAGAAAGCCAAGGAGATGCTATCCTCGTCGAGGTCCAGAATTTAAACAAGGCTACTCAAGGTCGCGCAATAATTCCTGTTTCATCTTTGACTGAGAACCTCGTATGCATCCTTGACCTCAGTTCATCCAGAGTTTCCTCTAGAATTCTTCTCACCAATAATAACCTCACTGACGCTAAGCTTCATTCTCCATAGCAGTGTGATAGACCTCAGTGGTGGCCAATCTATCGTGATGATAATGAATGTGTTGGGAAGGTCCAGCTCTCTGTCAGCTGCTTCAGCACCTATGGCGGGACGAATAGCATAAAGGTTGCCAATTGGGTTACTTAAAACTTATCAAGTCAAGCTCTTGCGAAGGATTTAATGGCGTAAATATTAACTGTAATTTTCCCTGCCCAAAAGTAAATCTGTGGTCCTTCTGATGAACTCAGGGTGGCACTGTGGTGGAAACTGTGGTGTATGACTCTGTGTTGGAGGCAGCAATGCGTGCTCAACCTGTTCTTCCCAGAAATTTACACATTGAAGGTGCATGGAAGTGGCTGCTTAATGAATTCGCTGATTATTATGGAGTTTCGGATGCATACACCAAGCTGAGGTCCGAAATGTGTCCCCCCATTAATCATCTCATGGGCCATTAATGTTTGAATATTCTCATGTATAAATATATGCATGCTTCTCTGAATGGAGTTCAACATTCAACAGGTATGTTTCATATATCATGAATATGGCTACACCCACGAAGGACTGCTTAGAGCTATTGCATGAGCTATTACTGCCTGTGGTGAAAGCCCGCCATGAAAATAGCCTGAACAGGCAGGAGGTATACTTTTCTTTGGTCTGCCAAAATGTTATTTTTTTGGGGGGTTTCAGTGATATTTCTAAACACTGATTTCTGAATTTTTATTACTATTAATATTATGACTACTATTATGATAATTATGATGATGAAGATGATGTTCTTGCTATAATGAGTTTCCTATATGCAAGAAAACTACTTTGACCGATTCAAACGATGTACCATGATAATCTACAGAAAAAAACCATTTTAATCGCCTCATGGAAGACATTGCACTTCCCTTTGTTCAACGATGAAAATGTCTGTTCACTTCATTGTTCTACTAGCAATGATGGCGTTCTTGGCCTACCTGCAATTAATTCAGGTCTCTACTTGAGCTTCACTACTTCCTCTGTAATGATTAATTAACTTCATAACACATTAACTACATCTTCTTGATTAATTTATTATGCTTTCCTCCAACCCTAAAACAGAATCCGGACATTGATTTATCTCATGATAATATTTTTTTCTGAATCACTCTCTTCTCCTTACGGATTTTGAGCCGCAAGGTATGAATTTAAACACTAGTTTGATCATTTATGATGCAGAAAAGCTTGTTGCTAGAATGTGAAGCTCAAGTAGAAAATCTGCTTGCGACTACTTTCAAGAACTACAAATCATTAGACGACCTGTCTCCCACTGGCTTGGCTGACACTTGTCATCCACCATCAGAGGCCTCTCCTCAAGCTTTGGCCCCAGCAGTGCAATTGTACACTCTTCTTCATGACATACTTTCTCAAGAGGGCCAGAGCATGTTGAGAAAATATCTCCAGGTGATGCTTTGCTCTTGATGTGATGCACTTAGGGCTGGTCTGTGATTTGGGATAAATTAATTTCACTGAGGAGATATCTTCTACCGTTTAAATGAATCCCAATTTTTTCTGTGAATATATTTTTACTATTTATGAATGTTTCCTCCGTAATAAGAGCACAAATTTCTGTTATGATATGAATTAAATTTCATCCTCTGTGGACTACTTAAACAATCATATTTACCGGTTATGAATAAAGTTTCCCTTTTTATGAATAATTTTTTGCTTTTTATGAATGTCTTCAGACTGTAGACGTACCCAGGAAGCAGCTATAGACGTTTGTCTTCCTAATTTATTTTTTCTGAATACCTATTTACTATTTATGGACACTGATCTGACTGTTTAAACAATCATTGTTAACTATTATGAATATTACCCAGGAAGATTTAAACGTTGTTCTCCTAAATTTTTGGATGATTATGTTTTCACTATTTATGAACCAGTTCCTCCTCGGATTCTCGGATTAAATGCCACCCTCTGCAGATGGCTGCAGCCAAAAGGTGCAGATGGCTCATGGTGGAGACCGACGAGTTTGTCTTGGGCAACTCCGAGGGTCTGGTCACCGACCCCATCACCATATCCACCGCTTATCTAAAGATGAAGGCCTTGTGTATCAGCATAAGATCAGAGATTGAGGTAGATATTAGGATTCACAACCAGCACATACTGCCCAGGTTCTGCCTTCTCCTCCACTCCATGTTCTTGAGGAATTCTTCAATAATTCCCTCTTTTTTTCTGCCACTTTTTTATTTTAATTTGGGCTTTTCTTATTTCAGCTCGATAGATCTTCCGAGTATAGCCGCTTCCCTCTACAGTCCAGAGTTGTGCAAGAGACTCCGAGCTTTTCTTGCGACTTGCCCCCCTTCCAAGCCTGCTCCGCATGTCACTGAGCTTCTGAGTGCTTCCGCTGACTTTGAAAGAGATCTTCAGTCATGGAACATTCCGTAAGTGTGAAAAAGACAGCCAATGATAAGTAATTCTCTTTGAGACATAATCGATCATGAGAAGTATCATAAATGGTAGGGAATTTAAAATAAAAAATAAATAAAGATGGAGAATTTTAATTAAAGTTTAGACTTTTGATTGCTGATGTATTTTCCAAAGAAGGGAAAAAATGAGTTTGGTCAACCATGAGATGTTTACCACTTCTGCTCATCTTCCCCAGTCCAAAGGTAAAAAAAATGGAGGGGAAACGAAGATAATTTAGCCGATTTGAGATTGTTGAGAGCATTAATTCTTAAGATTGAGATCTTAAGTCTGTGAGGTATTTTTCGCTCTTATTTTCGACTCTGACTTCTAAAAAGCAGTTAGTCAACCATAAGAAGCTTGACTGCTTCTGCTTATCTTCTGCAGCCCAGCGCAGAGCGGAGTGGTGTCCAAGGACCTGTTCCATGATTACATCATGGTGTGGATTCAAGAGACGAGGCTTCACTTGCTCGAGCAGTGCAGGTCCGAGAAGCTGCCCTGGTCGGGGGCGTTGACCAACTACTCCACCTCTCCCTTCGTAGAGAATATGTATGAGCAGGTCAAAGGAACCCTGATCGAGTACGAGGTGGTCATCAAACGGTGGCCCCAGTATCTCCTCCATTTGGAAGCTGTGAGTCTCCTCCCCAATCTCTCTTTCTCTCTCTCTCTCTCTCTCTCTCTCTCTCTCTCTCTCTCTCTCTCATGGGGTACTGCTCACATAAAAAGGCCGTCGCCGACGTTGAGCGGACGATCATGAAGACCCTAGAGAAGCAGTACGCAGAGATTCTAGCCCCTCTGAGAGAGAGCTTCCCTAAGCTCCTCGAGAAGCACGTCCAGAAGCTCACCGGGCGTCAGTCCGCCGCCATCTACTTCGTCCCTGACCAAGTACGTTGACCTCGCAGCTCAACATTCAGCTTCCATGCCTAAACACACTCTGACCTCCTCTCTCTCCCTCTCTCTCTGCGCGGCCATGGCAGCTGGGGACGTTTCTGAACACCGTGAAGAGGATTCTCGACACGCTGCATGGGAAGGTGGAGCAGCTACTGAGGTCGTGGGAGCCGGTGCTGACGGTGATCGGTGACGGGAAGTCCGCCTTCGGCGAGCAGATGAACGGAATCACGGTCTTGCTGAGGAAGAAGTTCAAGAACTACGTGCAGGCCATCGTCGAGAAGCTCGTGGGAAATGTGAGTATCCATCCATCTGCTTCAAGCTCAGATCTTTCCGTTTGCAGAAATGGATTCGTTGACGCCCTCGAAACGATTGTCTCCAGACGAAGGCCGCGAGAGCGACCAGGCTGAAGAGGGTGCTCGAAGAAACCAGAGATTCAGACGGTGAGGCCGAGGTTAGAGAGAGGCTGCTCCCACTGTGCCTGCTACTGACGGATTCCATCAGGAACCTCCATGGCTGCCTCTCCAGCAGGATCTTCGTGACTGTCTGCAGGGGTCTGTGGGACCGGATGGGACAGGTGAATGAATGGAGCAGCTATTCTTCCTCGATTAAATTTACTATTATAGTATCTTCTGGCGCCATTAAACTTCCAGTGAGAGTAACTTCACCCTCTTTCTCTGAGGTTTTGATCAGATTGTGCTCGGCTTTCTTGAGAGCCGGAAGGAGAACAGGGTCTGGTACAGAGCCTCCGACCGCGCCTTATCGGTGAGGGCGCCACCTGCTTGCGCTAAAGCTTCATATTTTCATGGATTCTTCTGACCGACGTTGACTTTTGGGAGATCTGCTGCAGGTCTTGGACGACTTCTTTGCCTCCCAGATGCAGACGTTCCAGGGGAACTCCCTGCAGGAGAAGGACCTCGACCCTCCCCGTTCGGTGATGGAGGCGCGGTCTATTCTTCGTTGAGCTCATGATTTATCACCATCATCATCTCCTTCCATCCATGGCTCTGTACTTGAGCATATATCATATTCTTTCTTCTTCTTTTTACTCTGGAGATGTCTCTCTTTCTCCATAATCCGTTTCTCTCTCCAACTAGAATGTAAAGAAAAAGACTATCATTTTTCTTGTATATTTAGTGTATCATGTAATTAGATTTTTTAAAAACATAGGATTTATTTTTTCCAACATGATGCATTCCACGAATTTCCTAATATTTTTTCCTAATGGAAAAAAATATATTAATAGATGTCGTTCTTTATCTCTATATAGAAAAAGGGCATTAATCCATTTTATGGCCTGTTTATTCCCACCTGTCATTCAAATTGAGTAATATTTACCTTTTAGAAAATGATGTTAAAGTGTAATCTTGTAAAATTCTGTATATGCAGCCATTTTTTTCCTGGTAGAAGTAAATGATAATATATATATTGATCTCATGAAAATCCTCACATGATCGAAAGATTTTGTTTTATATTCTAAGAAATTGACATGCGGGATTTTTTTTTCATTTATTTGTTTTTTTAAATTTTTTATAATACCATTATAATATTTTTTAAAAAATAAATATTTATAAAAAACTTAAGCTCAAAGTTAACCCCCCCCCTCCCCCCTCTCAACCCATGTACTTTTATTAAAATAAGACAGCCAATCGTCTCGAATTTAAATATTATTTTAATAATCTAAACGCTTAAAAAATAAATTAAAAAATAAATATTGTGTACCTAATCTTGGTCCCCTATCGACAACCTTGACCACAGATTTCCTCATCATCCATGAAAGCTGTCCAAGAAGCATCTTCAACCCGCTGAAATCCACCAAGCTTCTCCCTTTTGCAAAACCAGATCCAGGGTACTAGTCAACGCTGCCAGTTAGGATGGTATAAGCAAGCTCCACGTGGTCTCTCTCTCTCTCTCTCTCTCCCCGTGTTTCATTAATTCATCATCAGTCCCCGAGGGCAACAGGGCGAGGCGAGGCGAGGGGGCTCCAGCAGAGCTTTGAACTGCGCAGAGAACCCTATCGGAGATAGTGGGCGCTGTGATCTTCCGCCTAGTGGATGATGTGACTTTTCCCCGGCCAATCCAAGATCTTCACCCATATCATTCCTTAGGTCGGGAAGAAGGAGAAAATATGAGGACAAGATAAACCCAGTGGAAAGGACCAAGGATCTAGACCGCCGCCCTCCTCCATGGTCCCAGACACAATTACCGAGGACTGACTCTCTCTCTCTCTCTCTGTCACGACGGAGAAGATGTCGGGGACGACTGATAAGACATGAATGGGAGGAGCCGGCCTGAGAGCTTCAACCCCCCCTCTCCCTGATATAGGTGGGTCTGTGGAGTGTCCATTTCTTTTATTGTTCCCCGAATGAGGTGAGCTTCCGCTCCTTTTGACCTCCGTCGGCTCTCCTTTCTCCGCGGAACTTTCCTCCATTTCCACCTTTTCGGGCGGGCGGCTCCCGTTTTCTCCTCAGGAGGAGATGTTTCCTGGCTTGATCCCGCACCAGGAAGCTCCCATTCCTCAGGAGGAGATCCGTAGCCCCAGTCTGGTCCTCACCGCGGATCCCAAGCCCCGCCTCCGATGGACCGCTGATCTCCACGAGAGGTTCGTTGATGCAGTCGCGCAGCTCGGAGGACCCGAAAGTACCCCCCATCCATCTGCTTCCCAGTCTCGCATCCCCTGCTCTTACCCGAAATTTCCATTTATTTCCGAGTTTCTGTTATTGATTATTGCCCACTAGCTGCGTCTTTTGTTTGCTTCACCTGCCCTCGGCGGTGGTGTTTTGGGTCTTCCGGGTGCCATTGGTGGGCAGTTGACCATCTTTTCTTGGGATTTACTTCCCTTAATCGGTTTCCAAATTTGGATTGAATACTGCAGATTTGACGGAGATGAATACTCTGCATTCATTGATCGAACCTACTGGGTATCAGCGAGGTTGTGTCTGATGATTCTATGCGCGGCTCTCTGTTTCTGCGAAACTTTAATTTTCATACGTATATCCTTTTTAATATCGTTGATTGAACAGATGGCCGGCTTTCCTTGAGACTCTGAGCGACTTACCATGTATGCCTTTTGCATACTTCTCCGCTTCAAAGGCACCTCTGTTTGTAGTTCTCTTCATAATTTCTGTTTCCTGGTTTAAAGTGGTTCCATTTACTTTTGGGAGGATTCAATTTTGATTTTTTTTTCTACTTTGATTCTCTCCCTTTTTCGGGTTGCTTCATCATGTCCAGTACTTTCAATCCTCTTAATATCTTCTCCATTTCAGTATAGTGAAGTGAATCCCGAATTGAGCTGATATGCCTCACAGAATATTGGGAAGCTGATTATATTTTTCTGTCTTTTAATAGGATTTTCCCTCTTTTGTTAGATTGGCCTTTCTATTAAGTGCTGATTAATCCTTTTTAAGGAGACGATTTTGTGATTTCATCCCCTTACTTTTTTTTTAGTGAGACTTAAATCCATGTATCTGCGCTTCTGTGTATATTATTTGTTGAATTTCTTCATCTCATGTTTCGATGGATATTCAGGAAGGTTTTCGTATTTACTTATATAATTTCAAGTCTGTATGGTATCATTTTGGTTCGTATTCTTGGTGCTTCTCGCTGATTTTTCCTATTCTATCGTTTCTATTTAATAATTCTCAGTGGCATATGTTTGGTTAATAGATTTAAATAGGCGACTGCTGATGTTTATGTTTTTCCAAATTAAGTGAAAAGGATTCTCGTCGCCCAAGTTCTATCCACCAGTTTTATTTTCTACGCCAATTCTGTGCTGTTTTTTCTTCATTCACATGTCTTTCAGAGACTTCTATCGGTACATGAACAGACTAGTGAGCCAAGTGCTCAGGATTATCTAGCAAAACTCAATGTCATTGATTTGCGCTATTTATTAATGTTTATTTCACTAAGATTCATCTTCTAATGTGAGGATGTTTTTATCAATCTCATTCTCTGATTTCATTTCTAATCTTGTTTTCGGTCATCAGAGTTTCATGAGCACATGCCAACTTGAGTAAGATTTTTATTTGATGAAAATCAAGAACATTTTTTAACGCTGCATTTGAAAAAAAATGCCATTTTATTTTAGAAAGGAGGAAAATAATGCTAAAGACGATGTAAATCAAGCCCTCTAAGCGCATTTCATGCGCGAATGTTCTGTTTTTTTTTTCTTCTAGTGGATTGAGGAAAAACTAGTAATCTTGCAGCATTTTATTTCCTATTTCGATGCTTATTTCATTGCTTATCCCTGTTTCCTCAGGATTTTTCAATTTATATTTACTATTTTTGTATCTATGCATTAATATTTCACTGAGGATCTTCTTCTTTTTTTCCTCATAGAGGCGACACCAAAGACTATCATGAGGACAATGGGCGTTAAGGGCCTCACCCTTTTCCACTTGAAGAGTCATCTCCAAGTAAATAATCATTTTGAGCTCACTCTCTTTAAATTCTATTTTTCGGGCAAAAAAATGTGATTTTATTCAATATTCGCCCATATAATGTCCACTTTCCCTCTGGAGCTGGAGCTTATGCTTATGCTTATGCTTTTTATGTATCCTCAGAAATACCGATTAGGGAAACAATCGGGCAAAGAAATGGGGGAGCAGTCAAAGGGTGGTAAGCTCCCAATTAAGGTTGATAATATGCTATTTATTTATTAATAGTAGTAAAAATTCCTATTTATATCGAAAAATTATGAATGATTGTTTTCTTTCTGATACATTTTATTTTTCTTGTTGTAGGTCTTTTTCGGTTTTATTTGATATTTTAAATTTCTGAATTCACGAATGATTCATAGACTTAGTTGATTTTAACCTTTAGATTGACCTTATCTCGAATTTAAAATAGTAGTTGGTAGGTAAAATAAATTCAATCAGTTCTGCTCACAAAATTTAGGCTTATTTATCATTTTTTTATAAGGGAGGCTATTTAAAGGAAAAATTAAACTACTTTTAAAATTAAAATCCATGTGTTTTCTCGAATTTAAAATTGATACTTTTGTAGCTGAAAATTTTCAGTGAGCTCAGTCCAGTTATTTGTCTATATTTTTCACCAGTATAAAAAATTAGCTACTTCAATAAATTTTTGAAAACATTCTCTGGAGATGAATTATTGACGACCCCCTTAATAAGAGGAGCTGCCGATTAAATTATCCTGTGTTTTCTTGAGATAAAATTAATCGTTCTTGGGGATTTACTTATGTGTATATGTTTAGAGATAACATGTTTTCTCAGATACCATGATTTAGTTGTGCTCTTAGTTGGCTTCTGTGTCGACTCTATATAAGGTAAACAAATTTAAAGCCTTAACGATTAAAAAATCAAGATTATGCCACGTTCATCCCTGTTTTTTATCAAAAAAAAAGAAAAAAGTCAGAAAACTTTCCATAATTAGAAATCGAAAGAGTTATCTTGTGTTCTTATCATGCCTATATATATTTTTTGGATCTTAATGTCATCAGCTGCATATATCTTGGAAGGCCCCAGCAGCAGCAGCAGCTCGCTATCTCCAAGGGTGCACATGCCGGATGTGAATGAGTGAGATGACACTTTTTTTTTCCTTATTTGGAAAATAAAAATAAAAATGAACAGCTTCGATTGATGAATTCTTAAACCCTCCTTGGATTTGTGTAGGGGCCATGAAGTTAAGGAAGCCCTGAGAGCGCAGATGGAGATCCAGAGGAGACTCCATGAACAAGTGGAGGTAAATCTGATGGCTGAGTCTTACTTCTACCATGCTTCCGAATTAAATATTTCTATATTCTTTGCACATACATTCAATAAAAGATGAAAAAGAGGACTGGATTAGGTGGAAAACAGGCAAAACCCAGGGAGAGTTCATTGAGCTGCGATTTCCTTGCTTAGAAAATTAATCCTTCTGTAGAAGAGATCCAGTTCTTAGGCTCTCCGCCGGCGGATTCAAAGCAAGGAGGGGGGGCTCTTCTGTGGCTGAAACTTTTGGTGGTCGCAGAGAGTTGGTGGTTTCAATGGGTCAGCCATGGCCTGGGCTTAGCCAAGGTCAGTCTGAGACCTATGAACATTGGGCTGGTCTTGGGGGTTTCAGGGGAGAGCGATGTGGGTCATCAAGGACGGCTCTGGGCTTCTTGGTTATGCCTATGTTTCGTTCAAGAGTCAAGTTTTAGGCTTAAAACCGGGAAAACTGGGCCAGGCTTCCACTCACCTAACTCATTGACACCCCTACAGAATGAGGGTGATAAGTTGATAGATTGATTGCTAGCGAGAGAGAGGGAGAGAGAGAGAGAGGTGGGGGGGGGCTCTGGGCTTCTGGGTTATGCCTATGTTTCTTTCAAGACTTGATTTTTAGGCCTAAAACTGGGAAAAAACGGTGCCGAGCTCCAAAATGAGGGTGATTCATTGATGGATCGATAGTGAGATAGATAGATAGATAGCGGGAGAGGGAGAGAGAGAGAGATGTGACTGGCACTGGGTCAGTCGCCTACTGAGAATCCCTGTTATTTCTATTTTTATCCTTTTTTTTCCTGGGGCTGGAAGCTCATCTGGGTCCATCTCCAACAGGTCCAGAAGCACCTGCAGATTCGGATGGACTCCCACCAGAAGTACCTCAACTCGCTGTTTGAGAGGGCCATCAAGATCGCCGTGGAGCAGATCACATCTACCACTGGGCTCCACATGACCAGCGGCGAACTTGCCGACCTCCTCTCGAAGGTGGCGGTCAACGGGGGCTGTGAAGCTTCGGGCCCCTCAGCAGCTCCATGGCCCACCGACCTGGAAGAGAAGCTCCTCCCCCGCCAGCTACCACCAGAAGACGGGCACTGCCACCGGAAATTACTTGGCCTGAAGCAGAAACCCTGCTGAATTTCTTCTCTCTCTCTCTCTCTCTCTCTCTCTCTCTCTCTCTCTCTCTCTCTCTCTCTCGCTCTCTCTCTCTCTCTCTCCCTCCCTTTCTCTCTATCTATCTATCTATCTCTCTCTGTCCGCATCCAACCCCTGTGAGGGAGCTGCCAGGGTTCTTGGTTGAAAGGCTGGAAGAACGCCGATGGAGAGGCCCAGCTTGAGAAGAGCGCAATATGAGACTCCTTTTTATTGATGTGATCATGGCTTGTCAGAAAGATCCTTTTTTTTTTCTTTCTTTCTTGTAATTAGATTTTGAACTTGCTATTTTTGAGATAATAGAAGCAGAATTTTAAGCAGGGTCTGGATCAACAGTCAGAGGGAAGCGGGGCAGAAGGGCGCTTCCACTTCAACAGACCCCAAAAAGTCAACGAAGTACAGTGAGGTGGAGATAAGCTCGTTAGAATGGGGAACAGCGAATGAGCTGCTATTGGTTGGTCACAGAAGCCCTTTTTGAGGTTGCATGGGTGAGAGATGGATGGACGATCCTTGTGATCTGATGAGAGAGAGAGAGAGAATTGTAGGCGATTAATTAAGTGAGCTTTTATAAGTAACCAAGCTTGATCAATGTTCTTTAAATTATAAGTCAACGTAGAACTTTATAGCTCAACCTGTCTACATTACAAGCCAATCACAGGCAGATAACCGCCTACCAGCACTGGGCAGCGGTCAGCGGGCAACCTGCCCGGCGGCAGTCTTGTGGGACCAAGTTTTTTGCGGGCCCCACCTGCCGCCGATTGGACGGACGGCCATTTCCGACAAATCTGAGAGCCGGTCAGAAAAAAAAGGAGATATCTTTTTTTAATCAACCGAGAGAAAAATTAAGGAAGAGGACCGTACGGCGTACTTGCTCGCCTTCTAATCCCTCTCGCACTCTCTTCTGGACTTCTCGGCTGGTCGGTGGGCGAACCCTCGACTCCTGATAGTCAAAAGGCTCAGTGCAGGGAAAATTAGGGCGGTGGGTTCAAGCGGCGGCGCCGCCAGCGGGTAATCCGGTGATCCGCTTGTTGGCTCTACCTGGGTACTCCTCCTTTCAGCATTTTTTTTCGTGATTTTTGAGGTCTGCGCAAGTCAAATTCCCTTACTGGGTTCCTCCGGGAAGATAATGGCTGAAGCCTGTGTTTTAGAGAAATTGGTCTCAATTTCTCCTCACTTTGAGACGTTCTAAATGCTGATCATCGGCCTCCCCCCCCCCCCTTCTTTCAGAGTTTTCTCCATTTTCCCGTATTTTCTATTTTATTCTGAAATAAATCCGTCTCATCGCCGCCTTCCCCTCTGCCTTCTGGTGCTCGGCAGATTGCTGGTTATTGGTCAAGGGGAACGAACCCGAAGATTGACCCCCTGCAGTCAGTCACCATTGAAGACAGTCAAGGTGGAGGAGGCGGATGAGGGTTGCAGGAGCCTGCCGCTAGTTTCTTCACTGCATTCTCCAGACAGAAGAGAACGAATGACTGAGTTGAAAGCTGAGAAGAAGAGGGGGAAGTAAGTGCACAACGAGCCTCCAGGAACCATCTGAGGTAAGGAAAATCTGCCTCCATTAGGTGGAACTTGCGCTCACCTTAGAGTTTTTGTGAGAATTATTTAAATATTATCTCTCAAAACCCCCCTTTGGTGTTATTTTTTCGCATGCCATGTAATTGACTGACATGATTCTATACAATCTAGGAGCTGATAGAAACTGAGAAAGAAGAATTTAAGGGATATAATTAGTGGGTTTTTGAGATTGAATAGAGATAAAGAGAAAATTTAGTTATATAAGTGGGTTTCTAAGAAAATGCTGGTTGCTTCTGCTGAAATTTCATTTTTTTCGTGCCACAATATTTTCTGAACGTTTCTACCTTCAGAAGATCTTGCCAATGGTTGAAACAAAATATCACTCCAGCCCCAACTCCCACATCTAAAGGATGCACAAAAAAATAATTTCGAGACACTTATAAATGGATAGCGGGGGAAGATATAACGCAACATTGATGCAGACGATAGTAAGATCTGATCTCGAATCCATTAAGTACAGACTTTGATAAAGAAATTAGGTCATGAATCCACAAAAATTGGAGACTTTGACCCTTGAATCTGCAAAACTGGAGACTTTGGCCTGTGAATCCACATGGGGGGATACTTTGAATCCACAAGACCAAAAAGTGCCCTTGAATCCAGTTGGGGGGTGACATTGAATCTATGAGCAGGGAAAGATAACTCCAAAGAAGAGAAACTCGTTATATTTCAGTAGCTCAATGATTTTACGATGTGGAACCTTTATATAGACCTAAAAAGGAGGTGGGATGTCACCCCCTCCTTTCAATAGCAAACATTCTTTGAAAAAGAAAACAAATTCGGGAACATAATCAAAACATATTCTGAGAAAACAGACATAAAAATCTGAAACTGAAAAAGAAGAAAAATAGACTCTGTGCACCCAAATGGGGTTAAATAAGTCTTTTCTCACTTTAGTGGGGCCCAATAACGTTTTAGACCATTTTTTAGCATTATCCTCTTTATAGCCTAATGCTAAAGCGGGTGGGCCTCCAATTTTGGGTTTCATCTGTTTTATTACGTTTTGGGCTACATCAAGACGTTAGAAGGATGACCTAAATAAAAGTTGTAAATTCTAGATAGGTTTTCTTATAATTGAAGCAACCAATAATCTGGCTATAACCTCTGTTTGAATAATAGGGGGAGTATTTATGGCTTCCCAAGTAATTAAAGTATCTCTTGACAATTGCATTTAATTTCCCAACTCCAATTACTTAAAACCTCCTGGTGGACCGTTCTTTCTGAGGAGGGCCGCCGCACAGCTGGTCAGTCATGGGTGACTGGCCTGGCAAGCAACTATACTATGAAACATAAACTGCTACACAGGAAGCACTCGGCCATTATTCTTCTTCTCAGTTCCTCAAACATTTTTCATGAGCTATTTTGTTGTAAGACGTAGTGTGGAGCCTCCATATACCTTTCACCCTCTCATCAAAACTTCACATCTTGATACTAACATGTTAGAGTTCTTTGCAGTTGGCATATCAACCAAAGCCCATATCTAGTACAAGCCCAATTCCCAGCAATTCAATTCCTTATAATCATCATACAGAAATGTGGCCAAATGCTACAGAACCTAGAAATGGTTTGAATCTTGCCAATCCTCAACTATCATCAAAGCAACGACTACGGTGGACAGATGAGCTTCATGGGCGTTTTGTGGATGCTATCACTCAACTTGGTGGCCCAGATCGTGAGTAATTTTTACTTAATTTCATTGAATCAATGGATAGAGTTTTACATTTTCTTTTTAATACATTCGGACATTCCTCTGTGATAATCAAGGTTTTCAGTTCTAAACGGATCCATTATGGTGACTTTGATATATTTATGCTTTTTTGAGACTCTAAAATATGCCCAAGCTTGCAAAATAATATATTGATGTCCTATTCACTAAGCGGAATGGTGCTGTATTTGGTGCTCCTGCAATGTAGAAATATAGAGCTCAGTAAAGGGCTTACATGATTGTCACTCAATCAGAAGATGACTATACTTCTGCTTTTCCAAACTCATGTTTTAACGTAGCAGGAAATAACATTGATTTTCTCAGATTTCCCACATTTCAGGAGCCACCCCGAAAGGCATCCTGAGGGTTATGGGTGTGAAAGGGCTGACCATATACCACATCAAAAGCCACCTGCAGGTAAAATATCTGAATGATTACGTCTCACTTCCATATGAAATTTTCACGGCATTCCTGGCTCGTTATAATTTATCTGCCGCAATAAACTTCTTTATTTATGCAGAAGTATCGGCTTGCAAGTTATGTTCCTGAGTGTTCATCCGATGGTAGGTGGATATAATCTCATTTCTGATACTTTTGTGCAACAAGCAAATGAATCTTATTCCTAATTACAGTCCATGTCTGAAAAGATTCCCGTATTTAGTGTCCCCAGGTAGAAAGGCAGGAAATAAAGAACGTGGGGAGGAAATTTCTCGCCTGGATGATTCAGCGTAAGCTTGATCTTTATTTTTCCCCTCTCTGATATCTGGTTGTGACATGTTCAGTCGAAAAATTTCTTGCAATCTTTTGAAGATATATTCTTGTTGCATTTACTTGATAAACTTTGGAACACCATTACATTTGAGAAAAGGGCTTACTTGCCTTGCTGTTAGCCAAACCCTATGCTTTCTGTTTTCTGATAGCCATAATCTTTCTGCCCATACGCCCTCTCCCTCTCTCTCTCTCTCTCTCTCTCTCTCTCTCTCTCTCTCTCACTCACTCACTCACTCACTCACTCACTCACTCACACTCACACACACTGTATGTATGCATTTCTATAAGAGAGTGTACTTGAAATATTTAAGCAAGTACAATATTTTAATTTTTTATTCTACACTTTTTATAGAAGATCAATTAGGTGCTATTGGATTTCTGATTTATGGTAGATATCTATTATTCGATGAATGAATAACAAGTCATGACTAAGGCTCCATCATTTTTTAATCCATCACAGGATACCGATAACAGAGGCTCTCAAGTTGCAGATGGAGGTGCAGAAGCGTCTGCATGAGCAGCTAGAGGCAAGCTCTTCTCCACCTGAATATTTTATCCACAAGTCCTTTGTTGCCCTGGGAATATTGTCAACTGTTTTCTCGGAGATGATGCATCTGCAAGCAAGCATGATGACTCCGATCCCCTTCGGAATTATTTCCAAAGTTCATTCATTAATATCATATCAAATATAATATATATATATATCAAGATATGCATTTATATATATTCACTTTCAACTTAATTACCATTCAGTGATGGTATCTCAACATTATACTACTAAAGTTAGCAAAAATGTCATTTTTCTGCAGTTGTGCGTCTTGTGAGACATTTTATCTGTTCATCTATTTGAAACTTCAACTACACCGTCATCACCAGCTTCATTCTCATGACAAGGGGCTGTTACTGGGCCGATTACTATCCGATGTTCTTACAGCGGGCCCCACAATGCAGGTTCAGAGGCAGCTGCAGCTTCGGATTGAAGCCCAAGGAAAGTACCTGCAGAGGATCATCGAAGAGCAGCGGAGGCTCAGCAGTGTTCTTACCGAAGGGCCAGGGTTAATAGGTGAGGCAGGACTGCATTCAGCCAAGACCGACCCGTTGACCCCCGTTCCATCTTCAGAGTCACCCCTTCGGGGAACCCTGCAGCCTACCCCAAGATCGGTGACAGGCGCTTGAAGAGCGTTGACTTGGGACACTTCCTGAGTCAAAATCTTCCTTAGCTCTTTGAAACGTTTGAAATTTCTCCTCCCTTAACAGGACCCACGCCTTGATTTCTCAGGTAATTTCATCAATTGGGGGATTTCTCCTCCTTTTCTTCCCCCTCCTTTAGGAAGAGGACTTGGTTGCCCTCTTGTGTGGTTAAGTCAGCAACTCAGCAGTTTTTTTTTGTACATCGTAAGCTGTTAGTTGATGTAAAATTATAGATTTGCCATCACAGGGAATGGAAAATGCCTGGTTACCTCTCTTGCTCGTCAATATTTGGACTTTAAGCCCAAAAGATAACTCCGACCAGCGTTCTCAGGCTGGCGCGTTTCCGGGTTTTGGTCAATTCACCCGTTGACTTGATAAGTCAACCCCCAAGGGCCCATTTCCAAAGCATTTCTTGGACCCAGGCCCTCTTTGTAAAGTGGTTCTGTGCCATTTTCCGCAATACTCGACTTGAATTATTGCAGCCCAAGGAGGATTATATGTTCAATTGAATACTTGAAGAAGGTAAATCTGCAATTGCAATTCTAGCAAAGTTGGTTAATTAGTCAACTTCAAATTGTAGTTCTGAACAGGAAAGCTTTAGGACAAGTAATTTGCTACAGAGCCACCGGGGATTTCAATTTGTTGCATTGTCCCAGGTCCATGCTCCAAAGAGGTCCGACACATTTTAAAAGGTCAACGGCCTGTCCCCCAGATGTTCCAACAAGTGGGGTCAGGGGATTATTACTCTAAGAAAGCGCCATCTCACATCACGCCAGGTGTTCCCACCTGCCGAGTTGACTTTCTGGTTTGGGCAAAGATCCGCCTGAACTGGGTTACCATGCTGAAGCTCAATCATCATCTTCCTCTCCTTCCACGCCATCGATTCCAACCCAGCCAGTGAAGGCAAAGAGGAACTCTTTGAAGCTGACCATCCCATTTCGATCCCAGTCCATCTCCTCTGCATCACAGAATTAATGTCGTGTTGGTGTTCTTGAAAATAAACAAAGTCAGATCGGGTGGAAAAAGCCCGGAATCATTGAAATGGATTGACTGATGCTGATTCTGATGAAAGTTGATCTGCTGTTCAGGGAGAGGAGGATTAGATGCAACCAAAGTTCTTTTTTTCTCTCAGAAATAACGTAGAAAAGATCGACTTAGAATAATTATAAATCTGCGTAGAAGTTTTTTTTTGGATGAAATGATCTAAGAAGAATAGGAGATGGAATGTTAAGAGCTGAAGTCTGATTAGGGTTCTAGGACTTATTTCTATTGCTCTTCGTTCTATCGATGACCACAGGTGATATAATCACTCTCCCCCTTACCCAGTAAACAAGGAGATCTTAGGAGATGTATTGCCTTCCAAACTTAGATCAAGCATTGATGCGAGCACTACGTCAAGAGGACCTCTCCAGGTTATCTGAGGGTCGTTTACAATGAGGGGAGAGAGAGAGAGAGAGAGAGAGAGGGTAACAGACGCTTGAAAGGGAAATTTTCGATGTTTTTTACATAGACTCTATCAATGTTCTTAAATGAATCACCATTTTTTTTATAAAAAAAAGCAGTCCATCTAAGAGAGAGAGAGAGAGAGAGAGAGAAACTGACCAAATCTTTTCATGGCTATACGTCCAGAGGAGCGTTCGCCAGAAGTTGTCTCATTCAAGGCCTGCACCATTTCATTCTTACTCACATATCCATCCTTGTTCTTGTCCAGGAACACAAATGCATCAACCAGAGTCTCGAACGTAGCCTCCAGGTTCGAGAAGCCCATAATTGATTTCTGCTCATTATGTCATTGAAACAAATCCCTGGGCTTCACATGTCATAATTTCATGAAAAAATGAACGGGAATAAGAACATAAAAAAAAGGTTTTTAAATCGTATAATAAGGTGGAAATATTAAGGCCACGAGTAGCAAACACAGATTTAAAAACCAGATCAGAGTACTGATGCACATTACGAGCTAGCTTAAGAGAGTATTCTCTTAATTGTCACTGATACAGCACAATCTGGTTAGTTCTCTTCTCCTATTAGTCAAGCATTAGATGAAATCAAATAAAAACACCAAAAATATGAAGTGGGTGGGTCCAGATTTAGTAATATTTTGAATAATTTCATCCAGAGCTTTCAGCGAAATTGAGTGTTCTTAATCTGAGTGACCCAAAAAATTATATATCTATCTCCCAAAAAATAAAAATAAAAAAATAAATAAATACGAAAACGAAAAACAGGGAAACTAATACTGAAAGATATGGATCCATAGGAAGACGAAAAATTATCAAGGATCAAATAAAATAGGAATATTCTTCTTGAAAGTATGTCAATTAGTTTGCAGTTGGAAGGTCATATTATTTAACAGGTTTTGAAACTATGATCCAATAGTTGAGAATATCAAACCAGGCTGCACAAGAGGGGAAGTGTTATTTAGTTTCAGGTAAACAAAAAAAAAGGTGAAAATATTTTTGTGCGAAAATAAAATCAGAGTTATCCATATAAAGTACGGAAGAAAGAATAAAGTGATTAATTACAGACAAGACTATTAGTCTAAGGAGTATTCTAATTTAGGATACAGTATGAACGGATGCGGGCTTCTGCAGAAGATAGACCAGGCAGAGGAGAACAATGAACTCGTTGAACTTCATCCCCATGTTCTCACTGATGTCGCATGCCTCAAAGAGATCTTCGATCTCTTCTTCAGTCAGAGTTATCTCCAACCTATGGAAACAGTGCTTCAGTTCTTCTGGGTCTATCAAGCCATTGGAATCTTCATCTGAAAGCCAATCAAAAGAAACAAAAAATACATGATATTAATGATATTTTCTATAGCAATAAGTTAATTAATGATATTTTTTATACCATCCAGCGTGGGAAAGGACTCACCAAACTGTTGGAAAATGGTCTTGCAATTTCTTAAGCTCTGATCGATTTTGGGGAACTTCAAGATTATGCTATTAAATGATTTCATATTGCTCCCTGCTTGAGCTCTCTTCTGCATTGCTTCGACCATCTTCGCTTCAAGCTTTGAAGCTGGAGTGCTACGCCTTGATGAATCCCCTTTTCCAAAAACACCACCCATCTCTCCCCACTAGTAAGAAGGATTGTAGGCCCAGCTTTGCGACTGAAAGCGCGCACGAACAACAGTAATATCCATTAATGATACTCTTCAGAGAAAAAATAAAGTTGAGTAGCATGATAATTGTGAATTATTTGGTATGAATACAAAAGAAAATATAGAATATATGAAAATTTATTGAACATCAGCAGCATCCATTAATGAACCTCTTCGAAGGAAAAAGGAAAATGGAGTGACATAATAATTGAGAATTATTTGTATGAATACAAAAGAAAATATAGAATATATGAGAAATTGTTGGCTTCTCATGTACGAAATGAGAAGAATTCACCAAAAAGTGCAAATCCCTGTCACCAAAAAGCATTATCTGTGTGACTTCTATCAGGAACCTTGTGAGGGAGAAATACTAATCAATTATACTAATCTCCAAAGGGTTTTCATGAATTCAAAAAACTGTACGAAAAAATCAAGGAAAATGATCTTATTTCAGGACAAAGCCCACTAATCCTGGGTTGACCGGGGGATCCTCGATTTCCCCTTTGACTATTCTCTCAGATCAGTTCTTGTGGAGAGGTGTTTATTATATATTATTGACAGTAACACCAAATCTCATCCGGTCGATGGATTGAGGATGATGCAAGGTAATAAAAGATGCATACGAGCCGGAAATTATTTCACACCGATTTGATGATCCTAAAATATTATCACTGACGAACCCGGGCCCGCTCTCACCAACTCCAATGATCTTGGGCAGATAACACGTTGAATATAACTCTCTTTCCAAAATTTACCATCACCAAAATGCATAATCGAAAGGACCAACCATCCTTCTAACAGGAAACCCATCGATGCAGAGATACCGCGGAGGAGCGATCCATGAAAAGAAGATCGAAAGATGCAGAGAGACTGACCTCGTCACCACACCCACCTCCTCCGCACTGAGAGGATATTGGAGGGCGGCGGCGCCTTAGGCATCAACAGATGAGGCTCACGGAGAGGGGAGGAATGGCGACTTGACAGCTCCCCGCTCTTTCCAAATTCCAGCAAGATTGGAGAACAAGCCCACCATCAGGGGAAGAGAACCCGACGGAATTGGATGGTATCCAAGGTCTCCCAGAGCGAGGGAGGAAGATTAATGAAGAACAACAGCTTCTTCTGCGGGCGTAGAAGGGCAGTCTTGGACCTCCTGGAGCCGACCATCACCGCCACGATTGCTGCGGCGGCCACCACGTATGAACTAGCCCCGAATATCGACGGGGGGGCAATTTTCGGAAACTTCTGATTATGAAATGCCTTAAAAAAAAAAGCCTCCAGAGAATTTAAACCACAATATAAGATCAGAGGTGACAAGAATGAGGCACCCAATAAAAAGAGCGCAGCTCATGATCAGATGGTCAACTGTCCAATAAGATTGAGACAAGTGTAGTCGTTGAATTTTCCATCCTCCGCTCGAGTCTCCCGGTCGTTGACTGGAATCCTTGGGTGGTACTGCTAGAAGTCAACGGATTTCTAACCAGTCGTCTACAGTTTTTGTCCGATTCTTCCCGCCGAGAAATAGTTTAATACATCTCTAAAAATAACAACAGAAGATAAGTAAGCATCTCGCGACATCATCCGTTGACTTTCTAGCTTCATTAAGATACATCAAGACAGCTGCAACCCATGAACCAATTTTATGGGTATAAATGTGCATGCCCAAAATTAAATAATTAATTTTCTTGAATCGTGACTTAATATTAAGTTTAGAAAGAAAAATAAGGCTACCCAAGACCTCACATGACTCAAATCTCCAATTGAAAGCTCCTGTCTTGACAACGTCAGTCAGTTGGCCTGTCTCTCTGCTCTCTCTCTCTCTCCACTACCAACACGGCCCAACTAGTAACACAGGAGCCAACTTTTCTAATCTGTGCTTTGCTGCAAACTGCAATCCGAGCTCGGCAAGATCATCCTCCCTGGCTTTTCCTGTATCAGTGGAGAGCCCACAACCACATTTACAGAAGAAACTTTTTTTTGATGTACAGAACTGAGAATACAGAAATTCTGACAGAGATCGCCATGATCAAGATTGAACACAAGAGACATGTACAGAGGAGCCAACAGCTGGCTTCTTTCTGATCTTGACCGCACATCTCATCGCTGCAGAGGGCTCAGGAGGGGTTCTTTGATCATCACACGGACTCGGGCTTCACTATCCCATGGAGCTTCCATCCCCCGAGACCGGCTGACGCAAATGCCTGAAGATGGCAGGAGATAAAAAGAGCACAGCTCGTTGAAATCACAACTTCTAATTGATGAGTTGTATTCGACACGGAGGTCAATGATTCATAGGGAAGAAAATAAGGTTTTAAGCAAGAATATGGTTTGGACAAAATGGCAACATAGATAATCTACACGGGTATGCAACGCATAAGCGAAGACTTTCTTCAAATAGTTAATCTGCAGGTGGTTTTTCTAACTAACATATTCATTTTCTACGAATAGCTTCTAATTAATGTATTGTATCTATCAAGGAACTTAATAGCAACATAAAAAATCTACTCAAATATATAATATGAAGGAGAACATTTCCTTAAATGGTTCATTTATCCGTGGCTTTCCTGATTGAAGTCTCCATTTATTAAAAAAAAAAAGTTAAATTAAATAGCAACTACATTGTCTAAATACACCAAGACAGTCTTACTGCGCAGGAAACGCCGTTTACAACTACTCACTGAAAAGAGAGCCAATCAAAGTTTTATCTCGTCAGATTAATCACCATATACAGGAATATATGAAGAATCACCAGCATCATAAACACCTACTCCAGCCACCTGACAAACCTACATCCTGACTTCTTGTTTCTGGAGGGTAATTCAATTCTGGTCAACGTTTTTCTTACTGTTTACAAGGAAATAATATTTTTTATGCTACTCAGAGAGGAAGATACTTTGGAAGAAAGATGAAACGGGCAGATTTCTCCAGGAATTGGAGGATGCAGAGATGCTTGAAGTGTAGGATAGGCATTATAGAAACCTTGAAGGCTAAATGGAGGGAGATTCTCGGGAAGGAAAAGAGAAACGCCATCCGTCTGTTGATTAATCGGAGCGAAAAGATATTACAAGAGATGATTGGCACAAACGAGAGCACAAATGAGCTTTATGTCAGTTTATTTATTCATTGAGGCCGACTAGGGGCCTTCCTTAGAAAAGGAGGTACCGACTGAAACATCAAGGGAGATTTTGGAGAGCTGTCAAAACGTTCTGCGGAAGAAGAGGTTAAACAATCTCTCTTTACTATGATAGCAAACAAGGCTCCAGGAGCTGACGGATTTTCTCCTATGTTCTTACACGATTTGTCGGATTTGGTTCAGAATTGTTGGAATTTTGAAAGAAACTCGTGACAGTTTTTCATTTGAGGGATTTTAGCATAAATCATTTGTGGTGTTGGTTCTTAACAAAGAAAACATAAATGGGCTGAGGGACTACAGCCCCATGTTGCCAAGTAAAAACCACGCGGAAAACATTCGCATGAATGTTGGCGACGAAGCTAAGGTGAGTGTTTAACAGGCTAATTGGTTGAAAACGAAGGATTTGTGCAAAAGCCAATAAGAGTTTCGGATGGAATATGAATGTATTCACATATCTATGCCAATTGCAAGATGATGTTAGTATATGAAAAGGACAAAAAAAATTGAAGGCTAAGACAGTTAAAAAATTTAGAAGAAAACACTGCACTTGAAATAAACAATGAGAAAAGCATACACATGGACTTTAACGCAGAGAGAGTGGAGGTTAAGAGGGCAGTTGTACCTTTGGATTCTGAATAGGGAGAGTTTCGTATTTCTAACCTAGGAATGTCACTTATTAGAAGAGTCTTGAAAAGGAATTGGTTATGGTCGGATAGAAGATTGAAAAAATAATGACAAGCTGGAAGGAAAATCGTCACTATAAAGGGGGATACTTTATATAAGATCGTGCCCTCCAATTCGTAAATCACTAATGTTACGAAGGATTCTAGGGAATAATAAAGCTAAAAGCAATTGAATAAATATTTTTCTGCCATAGATAGTTATGGAAAGCTCTCGGAAGCATCAACACTAGACATTTCAACATTTCAGTGTAAATAGGAATTGGGAACTGAGGGAGGAAAATGTTTAGGCGAGATTAGACAGAGTCACCAGAAAAGAAATAGAGACCTAGACATAACATCAACTGAAAATTTTAACATCTCTAGGATGCTGTCACAGATGCTGTGGCCGCCTGCACCGTCTGAGATTGCAAAAACCTCAAGTTGAAAGGTGTCTAGGGTAAAACCTCAACTTTAATGGACGCTTTCAGTTTGTCTTGGGTGCATACCGCTTGAAATGCCCTCTGGTCACTTGCCCATTATGGATGGTCCACTATTAACCAAACCAAGCTAAACATGATCATCCAAATACTGGGTTTTGTCTAGTCCAAACTTCATATAATTATATTCACTAAGAATGGAGAACTTGGTTAGGCATATAATACATCCATGCTGTGTCAATAGATACTGGAGTTTCATTTAAGAACACTGTCAAAGTGACTTCGTACATTTGTTGGTTCATGAGAATTGGTAAAAGATAGAGCAAACAACTAATTCCCAGGCCTGCACTCTAGAAGAATGAAATGAATTCATGACTCATCATGGTACTTGCGCATCCCCATCAGCTTGAAGGAATAAAAGGAAGCTGGTAATTGCTGTTCAAATTCTCCTAGCAAGAACCTGAAGTTGTAAATTATTCCAAACTTTCCTTGAATAATTCCCTAAAAATTGGGTGCTTTAAGGAAGTGTCTATTTCCATCTCGTTCTGCCCTCCCACAGCCATTTGGATACACGCGAAAATGAAATTATGACCAAAACCCGATTATTATGCATCACTGAAAAGGAAAGAAAGCATCTCAATAATAAGGTTTCCATAAAAATAACCATCTTATGACATCATTGGAAATTTTGTCCTGGACCGAGGACAGAAATAGTGAAATGCATTTGATTCTTTCTCAGATAAAATTTGGTATCAAATGAATTGGATGTGCTAATCAACAAACTTTAAATAAGGGGTAGCTCCAGCTTTCAGACAGTTATTCTACTCCATTACCGACATCAAAGATAGTTATCTAAGAATAAAATGCCCTTCTTTCACCAAAAAGCGCACCTCATTCCATGACTGTCCACTGGCCTCGAGTAAGGCCGCATTACACGTCTTCAGCTCAATTGATGCCCCTGCGAGCATGGACGCTGCCTCCTCCCAGCCCTTATTGTGGCCCATGCACCTGCTCATCATTTCACCAGTGGCTAAACAACTCTCCTTCGCTTTACTACACCATTAGCAGCACAAGAAGGCAGCCGTGGATGAGCACACTCACATAACGGTGAGAATCTCGTCCTCCGAGTACTCACAGACGGCCTTCTGGAGGTGCTCCGCGGTCTGCCCATCCATTGCTGCCACGGAATAGAAGCTCGGAACGTAGCGCACTTTCGCTTCCAAGAAACACGCCGCGTGCTCTCGCATCAGATGCAGAGTCTCCTTTGTTCGAGTGGCGTCACTGCAAGACGAGCAAAATCGACCTCAATTGAATGGAATCGAAGGTGTTGAAGCTTACGGATGAATAAAGGTATCAGAGAATTCACAGATTGAGGAGAACCCTAGACCTGGACAAGATGAGTTCCGGAATCCACCCCATCTGCTGAAGCTTGCGGGAGACCGTGATCGCGTCACTCCTCCCAGCTTTGCTGAGCGGGCGGTCATGGTCTGCGAGAATCGCATGCGACAAACCTATAAGCAACCGAATCATCGAACAGTTCTTCACCCAACGAACAATCCAAACCTCATCCAGATAAAAGTTGGAGAGGGGGATGGGGTTGACAGAAGGATTTCTTTCTCCTCCACACCTCTGAGCGACCGGTCCGACCAAGAGCTCTCTGCGTGCCGTAGCAGTATCAGGCGCCGGCGGACGACAGCCTTGGCGGGGCTCTCCTGGGAGACCTCGGATTCCACTCCAGTGACCACGGACAGAGACCTCGCCGGAGGAACCCCCCGGGGACCCCTGCACGGCGAGCAGGGAGGAGAGAGAATGGGACCGGAGGACGGCGAGGCGGCGGCGGGTCGGCAGCAGAGGATTCCTCTCATAGTAGGCAATCTTTCTCACTGCAGTTCCCCGCCGAGCTCTCTCTCTCTCTCTCTCTCTCTCTCTCTCTCTCTCTTCTCACTACACTGGGTTACAGATTTTTGAAACGCCGATCAAATAATAAATAAATAAATACCAATATTTAATCCAGGTTTTATTTTCGAAATTAATTAAATATTTATAATGATATTTCAATTTTAAATTAAATTATATTTTGATAGTCCAGAGTACGCGTACTTTTTACGTCCGATTATTGGAAAACTGTCGGTGGGCTCGGGCTGCAGTGGAGAAAAGCCCACCACAGAGAGGTCAAGCCCGGTCCAGTTTCAGCGAGCCCTAAATGGGCCTTCTCGGAAAGGCCTAACCATATAGGCCGGCCCAAATAATATACTAAATGGGCCTACTAGCATCGCAATGTCATTCGTAGATGAAACAGGAGAGAGAGAGAGAGAGGTGTGTGGCACGCTGTCGCTGGTCGCATTCTATGTCCGCCACCTCACCACATGACGACTAGCGGTATGCTTTCCTCTCGTGATAAACATTATGAGGCAAGTCACATGTGCCGCATGCGTGCACCGTTGCCGCCGCGTTGCATCTCCACTGCCACATGAATCGCCCGATGCCTCGTACGTGCGCGGCACGGTGACGACTCGCGGGTGACCGACTCGGGCGATCTCCACCGAGTCGCCGTGACCGAGACACGTGGGGTCCCCAATACAGACGGTTAGCAATGGCCTCTGGCTTGTTTCTCTCTTTTATGATAATATCTCTGCAGCCGTCAGACTTCCCCGGTGGGCCCCACGGGCCACGATTCACGGGCCACGATTCACGGGCGAGCAAAGCAACCGAGTCGGGCGAGTTGCTTAGTGGGGCCCATGGCAGGGACGAATCACCAACCAACTGCGTTAGTATAAATACTTTTTAAAACTACGTCTCTGACGTTGTGGGAAGCCACTGCGCTCTGGGGCCCGCACGGCATTCACGCCTCATCGTCGTCCCCGACCTTCGCTCGGGGGGGAACTAGCGCCGGCGCCCCACTCTGCGACGCCGGTGAGGTAAGGATTCTCTGATCGTCGTTCCTGTGTCCACTCTCTCTCTCTCTGGAGCTCAATCCACCGTCTGCGCCTAATAAATGCGGGAGAGTGGATCCGACGCGCGGCAGCATCTTTTAATGTGTGCTCCAGTGTCGTGTTCCCCCCGACGGCGGCGATCCACCTTCGGCTGTCTCGTCCATATGAAGTCCGACGGGCAGATCTGATGATCGGCGGCATGGTTTAATGTTTTCCGGTGTCGTTTCGTTGCAGTCGGCGGGGGATCGGTCCAGCTCCGAGAGCCTGGCCTCACGTCAGAGCCTCCGGCGAGCGGATGCGGATTCCCGTCACTAGGTAATAATGAGTTAGCTTCCTTGACTTCACCGGAGAAAGAGGATTGGATTCCCTCCGCCTCCGTTTCCCCCGGTCGCCCGGTCGCCAGTAGGCAGAGTGGAATGATCTTTCACTGTGCGCTGTAGCCGATCACCGAGAAGGCTGATTGCATGGCAGGGCGCCTCCACTGCTAACGCAGTGTCTCCCGGGATCGGCCTTTCCACCGCTGCCGTCGGCTGTGATGGAATTCTTCAGATCGCGACATGCCAAATTCAAGGGGGAAGAGAAGAGAGAGAGAAGAGAGTAGATATGGCACGTGCGAAAGAGACGTCTCATTTGCACGCTAACTCAACGGTCCCGAGTAAAAGCCCTTTTCCCCCAGCGTGGGACGGGGGATCCTGCGTCGTACTTTCCACGCCACAGGTCTCTATACTGTTGAATCAATGGCCCCAATCCATCAATGTTCGTCCGTCGGTTTTTTCCCACCGTCGGATCGATAGAGCCCACAGTAATGATTCGCCGGTACATTTACCGTTGGATCCGTGCTGATGGAAAAGGCTTCCCATCTCAGTACCCAAGAATATTCCCGCTCTTGCCACGTCAGATATTGACGTCAAAAGTCATTAAACTAATTTACGCTCCATTTGTACGTCCTTCTCGTACCGGAGCCCGATTTAATTTTGACAACGTAAGATTCTCACTTAACCCCGGATATTCGTACTCCACTTTTTTCCGGTCACGCCGTCTCCCATCCCCGCCGACAATCCAGGCGTAGCAGCCCTTCATCGGCCAACTCGGGGGGCTAAACATCGATAGAAGGGGTGAATATATCGGGGAGGTCGTCCGCGCTCCAGAGCGGATGTTCTCGCCGTTAATGCACATTCCACTCAATAATGAGAGAAACCGGTTTGCCTTTCAATGTCCGTGCATGGCGGCGAGGTTCCCCATGCGTTCGCCACGTGGCAGATAGGCGCCTATCCCTCCGTGAGCCCCTGCTCTAACGGACGGTTCGGATTAATCAGAAGTGATGACGGTAAGTTCACCGCAACGGGAATCGCAGAACCGTTCCGCCGGCGCGCGGGTCTACCGTGACAGCGGCAAAAGCCATTTTCTTCTGATGTGAAATAGTCGGGGCAGCTGGACGCTCGCAATCCCCCCGGCGGTAAAAGCGGTGAGCGTGTTAGGGTGCTGCCGCCGCGTCGGTGTGCTGCCGTGTTGAGTTTCAGCATATTATTTTATTAGGAAAAAGTTAAAGAAGGCGCAGAAGAGGGGGGGTGACGGGAGTACGCAGGAGGACTGCGAGTGTAGGCAAATCTCTGCAAATTGAGGGGGAAGAGGGAAGAAAAGAGGGGGGATTTGGAAGAGAAGACGAGGGAGGATCGATTTTAAGGCGGAAGGTTTTCCTTTTCTGGCTGGAGTCCTACTTGCCCGTCTCTGGATCGCTGGAGGAGGCGGAGGTCTCCGGGCTGCAGCTGCTGTGGAGATCTCGCAGCTCTTCTGACAGAAGGGGAAGGTGCGTTGACGTTGCTTTTCCTTTGGTGAATTTGAGCTGCGGATTGGTGCTTGTGAGGTCTTGCGCCGGCTCCCTTGACCTCGCCTTCTCTGTTCAAGAAACGGGGTGCGGGATCGGTTTCTCCCTTGATTTATTGGTCTTGTTCTGTGTGTGTGTGTGTGTTTTTTTTTTGTGTCGTAACGGGCTTGCCAGCAGAATCGGCCAGCTCGAGGTCGTGAGATTGGTCGCGGTTTTTGAAGGAGGGATCTGGCTGGTGCTTGCTGCCGTTTCCGCTGACTGGATTAACATACGGTGGGCCGGGTTTGGATAACGCTGGGAGAAGCAAATGCAGGTCCTGGGTCTTCGTCGTGGTCGGTAGCATAGGTTCTTCGTTTTGTTCCCCTCTGGGTTTAACCCTGCTAATCTGGTAGGCGAAACTTTCTGTTAATTATATGTTTCTTCGTCATGATGACGATTTCGCGTTCTGTGCAACACTTGGAGAGGTAACAAAAAAAAAAAGTTTCTCTCGGATTTGACCGCTCAGGTGCATGGGGAAATTAGGCCGGTATCCTGGGTGAAATTCTGATATTTTCAAGTATTTCTTCATTCAATGTTTGTTGCTGAGGAATTGATCCCTGGAATTCTCTTGCCATAAAATCCGCTGATGCGATTCTTTTCACCTCCCCAATTTTCCGTCGTACCTTGGGATATTTCTATATCGTTCTTTGATCATCTGCATGGAAGTTTCTGTCATAACTTTAATTGATTCTTCATTTTATTACAGGTATCAGCGGCGGTCTGAGATCTAAAATCTGGTTTTGCCTTTCGAAGATATAATGTCAGGTAGAATTTTCTGGCCTTCCCTTCCTTTACATTCCATTGAAGATTCTCTCAGAAACCATGCCTTTAGAAGACCGTAGACGATATGCTGCTGTTGGAAGCTGTAGGTTGTATTAATTGTCGCCACGTCAAAAGGCATCATTGTTGTTGTGAAATTTATTTTAGAGGTTGCAACATGATCTTTTGTTTTTACTTTCTGACCCTCGATATTTTGTTTCCTCTGCCCAGTTTCCCATGATGAGATTCCGGGATGTTCTATCTCTCTTGATGAGAGGCGGGAGCGGAAATCAGATGTGGAGAATTCAGAAGATGAGAGGAGAAGGACGAAAATTGGATCTCTCAAGAAAAAGGCTTTAAATGCCTCTTCCAAGCTAACCTGCTCGCTTAAGAAACGGGGGAAGAGAAAGGTTGACTACAGGTTTCCTTCGGTTCCAATAGAGGATGTACGTGATGCAGACGAGGAAAAAGCTGTATATGCATTTCGGCAGGAGCTTATATCGAAGGAATTATTGCCTGACCGACATGATGACTATCACACAATGCTCAGGCTAGTTACCTAATCTCATCTCAAACGTTCTTGGAATTCAGCGTTCCCGTCTTTGGAGAAGAGTTTTTCTACATTGTCAGAAGGGTTTACAATTCCAGAATAGAACAATACCACTTCCTGATGAAAACCGGGCAAAAACATGAAATATGTTATTTGCTGACTTATAACAATTAAATTCAATATTTCTGTCTGCTCGGATTCCCAAAATACAGATGGTTGTCATCTTATTCCCGTGGCCATATTTTGGCCTTTTTTAGCTGTCATGTTTTGTTTATTTGTAGTTTCAGGTTCTTGAGATCTATGAAGACTGACTACAATAAGTTATGTCTGAACCTTCCTTGTCTTGTTGCCAATTTATTTTCTTTTTTTTTTCAGATTTTTGAAAGCTAGAAAGTTTGACTTCGAGAAGGCAGTTCATATGTGGTCGGACATGTTGAAGTGGAGAAAAGAATTTGGGACAGATACTATATTAGAGGTACGGCAACTACTCTCATAAACCAAAAGGAACATTTTTTTAATGTTTTAACGATGGGAGATTTGTTTCGGTTATAGATAACCAGGCATCATATTTCATGTCATCATTAACGGATCAAATGTAAACTAGTCTCCACAAGAAGTTTATGTATAAATTCGATATCCGACTCAATTCTTTAGTTGTACAATTTGTAACTTATTTTTTCCTGATTTTCTCTCAAATTACAGACTTAATTCTTCACTTGGCATTTATTTTTTCTTGATCTTTTTCTCTTTTTGGCAATAAATATTGTTCTTAGTGGTTTCTATAGCATCATTTTGTATGAAAGAACTGAATTGCATGTGCTGGCGTATAACAAGGGGTGAATCAGTTGCGAGATTTAGGAGTCAATAGTATGAGTTGGGATCAAGACAGATGTCCAAGAACAAGTAAAACATGTGTTATTTAGTCTGTCAGGGGGTTTCCTTCATAGAGGGGCACTCAAGTCGTCTCATGACAAATACAAAAAGAAAACAAGGACAAGAATGTACTCTTTCCTTTTGAAATCAGATCGTGGTGTCCCTTCCATGACCTAATTTCGAGATAGATCGTCAATTTTGGAGCATCCTATAGAGGAATTTGCGTAGTTATTCCCCCGTAGATAGAATTCGTGACTTTCTGGTGTGAATTCTACCTTCTGTCATTTTCCAAGATAGAGAAAGGATCAATGCGTCTTCACCGTCTACAAGTGTTGTGCTAGTGGCTCAACGTTCTATATAGGAGACAAGGTGAGCGCACTCAATGCAGCTATTGAACTGCGCAACGCATAATGGAGATTGGGAAGGAGAGGAGCAGTGATTGGCCCATTTTCTCTCATCTTCGTGGCATCGAACTACGAAGAAAAACTCAGACCAGAAAGCTGACGGTGGAATCCTAGCCAAAGCATGCTCAGATACGGTCTTTGAGATTGAGAAAAGAACACCACATTGACTAAGAAAAAAATGGATTATACAGTCAACTCTTAGTAGGGCATAGCTATTATTCTAACACGTCGGCTAAGAAAAAAAATGCATTTATGGACTTAGATGACACTACTGAGTTAATAACAGATTAATTCCATACCAAAAGATTTGGGATAAAATCCCTGAGACGTATATACGAGCTGACTGTACAATCCCAAAAAAAAAAGAAAAAAAAGAAAAAAGAAAACAGTTTTTATGTACAATTTTGTTTATTTATAGTTTGGAAATACTTTCAGAACAAGTTGAATTGTCTACTTTATAGGAAATACCTGTCCTAATAGTCACCTTTACAAAAACGCTCTTTTAGATACATACAGAACTTACTCTATCAGTGCATACCATCTCAATGAATATTTATTGGATTTAATTCTAGGACTTCGAGTTTGAGGAACTGGATGAAGTTTTGCACTACTATCCCCATGGTTATCATGGCGTTGACAAAGAGGGAAGACCTGTATACATCGAGAGGCTGGGGAGGGTTGAGCCTAACAAGCTCATGCACATTACTTCAGTGGAGCGTTACATCAAATATCATGTACAGGAGTTCGAGCGAGCCTTCTGCGAAAAGTTTCCCGCATGTTCTATTGCAGCGAAGAGACACATCGGCTCCACAACGACAATACTCGATGTTCATGGCGTGGTATGTTGCTGAGATCTTCTTCACCGCGAATCATTCTATTTTGCTTCTAAATGGCATTTCATTTTTATTTATTTATTTTATTTTTGGAAATCGTAGGGCCTGAAAAATTTCAGCAAGACGGCCAGAGATCTTCTACTAACGATGCAGAAGATAGACTCCGATTACTACCCTGAGGTACACCTCATAGATACCTGATTTCTGATGGTCAGCATTCGTCAAATGTTCATTGCATAATTGGTCGCTGCACGATCTCAGACACTTCATCAGATGTTCATTGTCAACGCTGGGCATGGCTTCAAGCTGCTCTGGAACACAGTCAAGAGCTTCCTTGATCCCAAGACGACATCAAAGATACATGTAAGTGCATCGCTTATTTATCTTCGATTTTCTTTCTGTTTGGCAAAGTGGCCGGATCTGATGACGAGTTAGACAACTCACAGGTCCTGGGTACCCGATTCCAGAGTAGACTCCTTGAATCCATTGACTCCAGGTTTGTGTGATTCTTTGTGCGAGGATCACCGCCGTACATCAGTGTTGACTTATGGGTGTGATTGCCAAATTTCTGTCCTTCAGACAGCTGCCAGATTTCTTGGGGGGTTCGTGCACATGCTCTGCCGGCGGATGTCTTCGGTCTGATAAAGGACCCTGGAATGATCCTGAGATAATAAAGGTATTTCCCTTTCGAGGCTTAAGCAAGTGGGGAACATGGGTCTTTACTTTTCTTTTTTTTCCTGGTTTGCGTTGACCAATGTATGCATGCCATCTGCCAGCTCGTACGTAATGCCGAGATGTATGTGAGGGAAATCAGGAGATTATCCGATGGAGAGCTGGTCGTTGACTCTGATCGGCCACGCCCATTGAAGGTAGGGTTTTGGACCCTCACTGCGCCGATTATCTTGATGATGGGTTATAACTCGTTGACTCTTTGGATATCAGGGAAGAGTCGCCGACACGTCAATGGCAGAGTCGGGGTCGGATGCTGACGATTTCGGCTCGCCGTTGGCGTCAAAGTCAACGGAATCCTCCCGACTGGCACCGGTTCATGAAGAGGTGGGTTCCTTAATTACGACTTTTTTTTACATAAAATCGGATTTAATATGAATTGACTTTCATTTTGTTTCCCAAATTTGCATCATTTTTTGATATCTTCTGGTGGAACAAATTATCTTTTTTGGGTAATTTGTTGTTACTTATAATTGGGCCACATTCAACATCTCTGCTTTCCATGTATGCAGGCCAAGCCGACCGATTCAGCTTCTTCTTATAGCTGCTGCGACAACCTTTCTGTCGTGGTAGATAAAGCCGTGGACTGCGGGCGAAGAGGCTCGCGACCCGCTGCTACGCCCTCGATCGGACTTCGAAACCGCCGTCTTTCCTCTGCCATTAGTGAGCTCGGTTCTCGTGGTAACAACCAGTGCTAACTTACCTTAATTTTTTTCTCTCTCTAATCTCTCTCTAACCTTCAGCAGCCGAAGTCGGGAACAAGACGGAGGAGGAAGGGGGGGAGATGAGCGTGCGGTCCATTGCGAGCTCTCTGGTGGCGTTTCTGGTCAAGCTGCTGTCCTTCTTCCGGGAGGTGGCCTGTGGACTGGAGCGGAGGCTGGCGAACGTGGACCCACCTGAGAGGCCGCCGCCTCCTCCATCGGAAGCCACTGCCGCCATCGAGGGGGGCGGGCACCTTGGGCCCTGCCTGGAGGAGCGGCTCCGTCGTCTGGAGGTGATGTGCCAGGAGATCAGCAGCAAGCCAGCTCAGATACCAGAGGAGAAGGACCGGGTGCTCCTGGACTCGTGGGACCGGATCAAGTCCATCGAGTTTGACCTCGAGAAGACAAAGAAGGTGTGTACCCGTTGTTAAAAGTCGACGCTTATAACAGAAACAGAGCAGAAGTCAATGGAAGGCTTTTCCCTTGTTTTGTGGCAGGTACTGCAGGCGGCAGTTATCACGCAGTCGGAGATCACGGACTCGCTGGAATTGGCCCAGAAGTCAAAGGTATATATATACCTCTCTCTCTATCTATCGCTATCTCTACCCTCCGGTCGGTTGAGAATGTCTGTTGACCGGTCACCTTGTGTGTGGTTCCCTGTAGAGAAATGCCCGTTGACGAGGAGTAAATGGCGGCGGCCGGCTGCGCCTTGGACGGAGTCAAGTCGGGGACACTTACCGCAAGACACTTACTTGATCTCATAACGGCCTCTTTTTCTAATCGTTGACTCAGGAAGCCTGTCCTGACGTCGTGCACGGAGACAGCAGCCGCCGGGGAGTTCTCTTGTCGGGATCTAACACCATGAGAGAGAAGAAAGGAGAGAGAGAGGAGATGAAAGCGGGCAAGTGTATATGTTCCCTCGGCCTGATGGGTGTAATTTTTTGTCCTTTTTCGGGCTAATCTTTGTTTATTGGGAGAGAGGCGTTGATTTCTCCGATGCGGCGAATTCTTTCTCATAAAAGAAGTTTCGGATGTGAGTCCGAATTCTCTCTCTCTATATATATAGATATATAGATATATAGATAGCTATATATATATATATATATATCTCTATCTGCGTGGTCGATTAATGGAAAGGAATGGGATGAAGTTTATTGGGCTGATGTTAGTTTGGCCCATCATGGATCGCTGAAGATGATCAGCGTTGGCCGAATGCGTAAATCCGAAATCGACGGTTCAGGTTGCATCGGGAACGGTCTCCGCGGACTCGTAAACGGATTTTATTCTTGTTCCGTTCAATTACACCGCGGTGAAATCTGTTTTGCTCTCTCTCTCTCTCTCTCTGGCTAGGAGAAGAGGGCAATGGCCGAGGTGGCGAGGGCAGCAGGCTCGCCGGCGCCGGCCGCCGGAGCAGAGGAGGTAGCGCCGTCATGGTATGGCGCTGAGTCCGGCTACCCTCCGCCGGAGGCCGCGTACAATGAGGTCGTCGAGAACGTAGGGCTCTTCGTGGAGACGCTCGAGCGGCTGCACCGGCAGATGGGAACTAAGTTCATGTACGTAGTAGGGTTCCCTCCGATCCCTCAAGGCTCTTCTTCTCCTTCTCTGTCGTGCCCTTGGATTCCATGAACGAGTTGTCTTCTCCTCGGACTTGGAATGATGTCGCAGAGAGAAGACGTCATTCCTCGGACTCCCTTACGGCGGGAAGTTGATTGATCGCCTCCCACTAGAGCGGAGTGTCTTCCGGCTGGGAGGCCCACGAGGAATTAGGAAATGCCGTAAGGCTGTTGCTTATTTCCTTGACGGCATTCCTCGACCAATGATGAAAAAACTAGTATAGTTGATGTAGGTGGAGCCGTCACTACCGAGGTTTTTCTTAGGGTTTTGACCCTTTGCAAATTATTGCCACTGCTTATTTGCTCTATATTACTTTCAATTTTCCTTTATTATTTGGGTTAGGACGTGGGATACTATCCTGATGGTAGCCCTTCCTTCTCTAGTCGCTTAGTGTGGAATTGTGACGAGTGGAATATTTGAAATCCACTTACGGTAAATGACTACATCACCTTATTTACTGGTTGACTTAGATTATCATTGGGAGCAGCGTGGACAGTTTTGTCTCTTTCTCGTGGATTTTGTTTATACGCTGTTTCTTTTGAATAATACCCTAATTTAAGGACTAAATTCATCATCTGTCAATAATGATCCGGTTTATAGATAGCCTGTGATCAGAATACAATGCCTGGCTCAGTTTGCCATTAGAGTTCTCTGAAGGCCAAGCCAGTCCAGTATAGTTATCACAGGCTAAGGTGTTACACTCAAAACCCACACCAGATTAAGGTGTGGGTGTTGAGTGTCTCTGGCTTATGGATAAATCAGAAATCCCATGCAGCGCCAAGTGAGCCATGCTTTAGTAGAATTCATGAATGGCTGGGAAACAAGCTTGATGCATCAGGACAATGAGGTTTTGAGGCCATCGTGTCACAGTGGAAAGATGTGGGGATTCTTCGGATTTCTGCATTCTTGTTTTAGAGTCAAAGGAAAGCATATAAAAGATAACTAAGCTATTTATATATTTTATGACATGTAATTCTCTAATGCTTTTCAGAAAGGCGCTCAAAATAAAAATATAAGGTGGAACAAATGAATAGAGAAATATATGAGAAGACAATGAAAGGCCACATGTGAAGTAAATCCACCTAGAGAGATGGCAGGGTTCGTATTATTGGATAGTTTGGTGCTAGCTTGTGCCGTTTCAAATGCTACTAGGGGGGCATTTTTGAGAAATGTGGTCATCACTTTTTTTCAGGTTTATAGAAGAAAAACAAGACGACTAAAAAGGGGCTTTATGGAGGAAACTAAGAATGATACGAAATTAGGCATGATTAACTTAATTATTTCCATGATTGAGTGGAAGGGGAGAATAATTTTTTTTCTTTAACAAAATCATGTGGAATCTAGTGGAATGCTGACCACCTTCAATCATTGGGCGTAGTGGTCCTTCTGTGTTGTCTGTTTCACCACCCGTGCTTGTATTAGATGTTGACTCCAATACCCCTATCTGTGTATGGGTGTCATTATCCACTTAATGAGGTCTTATTACTTTCTAAGCATAATTAGGATGTGATTGTCACTTCTAACTTTATATGTAATGCTATCCTGCGGGTGGGCAGTGTCATCTCATAAAAGGGGAAAAGAAGACAACCCCATTAAAGAAGCTTCCCTGTTCTTCTCTAGAGTAGGTAATTTTAGATTCTCAGATCAGGTTTTGACACTATTAAAACATTAGACACATGCTGGTCTATCGAGTTTGGAAATCGTCATCTTCATTAATGGTGAATATTCTGCTTTGGAGATCTGGTGGTAGGCTATCGATCAGCAACTGTGCTGAATGTGAATGGATGGTATCCACTTTATTTGCAGTTTTGTGGATGGAGTATCTGTGGAGTATTTGTTCCTTGGACGTCGTTTCTCACCCACTCTTCATTCATAGAATGTACTCATTTAAACCCCATGATAACTTTATTGTCTGGCTTTTTTTAAGTGCACATATCTTCTTAGGCCCACTTGGCTGCCTTTTTTTTAAGTATACATATTTCCTAGGGTCTACATTGCTTAGAGGGTCGAATGAAGGCTGATAGTACATGGGTTGAGGGTTTTCGGTATTTTGAGAAGCTACATTTGAGAGGCTATGCTTCTTCAATTAGTGACATTTTGAAGGTCATAGGTGATATCAATTAGTGATATCCTGTTAGAAGAAAAAAGTCAGTCTCCAAGACTATACAGATAACATCAATTAGTGCCGTAAGTCCATTTTCTAGAATTTTGGAATAAATTTCCTTTCAAGGATTTTTTTTTCCCAAATAAAATAACGAAGCTTCGATTTTCCTCGTGTACATAAATATTACACCTTAGTTGTTGTCCTCTCGAAAATAACAAAGGATAAAGAAATGTACCTTTGGTAAAGTCAGTTTAAATGCCAAATACGAGTAGTCTCTGTATTTCAGAGTCTAACTGGGGCTAATCTGCCCATGGGCAGTTAGGTTTTTCGTATTATTGCCATCTAGCGTACCATGTTAGTCAAACCTTGTCTTGGGTATAAAATTATGAAAATCTCTATGCAATGAGATGTCTGGCCGATGCTACTCTTAATTGCATAGTTGTAAATTTACATTTTCATTCTGTTGCAGGGTGCCCAGAATTGGTGGAAAGGCTCTTGATCTGCATCGCCTTTTTGTGGAGGTAACTTTACGTGGTGGTCTCGAGAAGGTATACCAGAACCTGCTGGTTTCTTTATTTCACATTTCCGTACATAGTGTTAAAGATTTTAACTTTGCTGCCAGGAAGTGGATTGCCATTTGCCTCCATGTTTTGTTTCTAAAGGCAGACATTCTCTGATTTAAAGGGATATTTCTGAACAATTTGCTTTCATTTAAACCTGGATTTTTTTTTGGTTCCTGCTCGCATTTGGATTTGATTTGGGCCTAGAAAATATTATGTATTTTCTGGTTCTAAATCCCTTATCCTACAGGTGAATAACCTCTCGCCAGAGCAACTCGTTCTGATTATGAGTCCCTTATCCAGTGTTCAAAAACTTTATAATTTGTGTAGATTCTCTTATTAGGTTTGTAACTGTATAAGGAAGTGACTAATGTGTCCCAGATTATGATTATGGTGGTAACTTGCAACTCCTAAAGTACGAAAACCTAGAAGAGTTTATCATCACATAATATTGGCAGATTATAACTTGTAGAGATGTTTGAGACTAAATATGATAAGTCAACAACCCTCAACAGGGTCTCATGAAATTCGGAGGCTCAGTGGAGGAATATGAAGCAGGAAGAAACTCAGGCGTTGGTTCTCTGCTGCATTCTAGTCTAATTTGTTCCGAAAAGGGAACCTGTAGCATGGGGTATAGGTTGGAGTTGGATTAAGAATAATTTCAGCATGGAAGCAGCTGATCTACGTGGTCTCTTCACTGAGGCAGAAACTAGAGCAGTGCCGTCTTTGGGGAGAAATAGAGTTCTGGAGCAAACGGCTTTCCACCTTGCATTACCAGGTTGTTGTGGAGGAGGACACAATGGCAATATTGAAGGAATTTTAGGAACATTCATGGTGATCGATGAATTCCATTGATTTTCACATCTTTTCTGTCTCTGGGCGTTAGAACTCCAGCTGCAGGTTTTCCCCCACACCAGGAAAACCTCTCCAGAGCTGGCATCCTATAGAGCATTTTTTGTTTTAAATATCATGCAAAGAGATTCTATGCAGTTGCCCATCTTTTCTCTTTATCATTCATTCCAGCAGACAAGATCAGCACAGGTTTACATTTGTCAATCTCATGGTAAGTAAGATTTTGGATGCTGGTTTCAATTCAAATCCCAAAGGTGATAAAAAGTTTGAAAAACGATGCTTCCAAATCAGGAGTATGTATACGACAATTTGTAAGAAGAGAGATGAAACGACAAACTTTCTAATGATTTTATCAGTTGTGTCACAGCTTATAATTAAGCAATAGGATCATCTTTAAGCTCATAAGTTGCCTGCTTTTTTTGGTCTCAGGTTATCAAGGAGAGGAAGTGGAGGGATGTTATCGCCATGTTCAATTTTCCATCAACAATCACTAGTGCATCTTATGTGCTCAGGAAGTATTATATTTCCTTGCTTCGCGTCTATGAACAAGTTTATTTCTTCCGAAACAAAGCTTCTGATTCTTCATTGAGTGGTACTTTTCTTAACTTCACTCCAAACAAAGTCCTCAGAATTTTTTTTCCACCGATCAATATTTACTAATTGTCCTTTTTTGCATCTTTCATTTCATCAGTAGCACCACCATCTCAAGAGTCCAGGGTACCATCTCAGGTGAAAGGAATCGAGAGACACTCTCCACACCGTATGTTTTAGTTTTCTCCCCTCATTCACTTTGATCGCTGTCTTTCCGAGAAAGGCAATTATTTTCGATTCAGTGAGTCTCATACATTGTTGACATCAAGAACATCCCTCTAATCTGATGTTAATCGTAAAGAAAAGACGCTTACCCAGGATTATACTGGAATTAACTGCACCCCCATTCACAATTTACTTCGCCTAGTAGAAGCTACAGGCTAAAAGAAGTAAACCCAAAGGATATGAATACGTCTTTCCTTCTCCGATATCAATTTCAATGGCCGATTCATGAGCTTTGTCATTCTCTCCAGCAGCAGGTTCTTCTTTGCAAGATGGTTCTTCAGTGATTGGGCAGATCACTGGAAAATTTGACCATGGGTATCTAGTGACGGCAAATCTCGGCTCGGAGCAGCTGGTGGGAGTTCTTTATCACGTCCCTCGTGAACTTCCGGACCAGAACCCATCATACCTCAGCGCTTGCTTCCATAGTAGGAAAAGGTCTAGGAAGATGATGAAGGACCCCTTTCGCCCTAAATCAAACAGAAGCGGGTACAACTTTTTCTTTGCAGAGCAGTATGCGAAGCTGAAGCCTCAGCATTCCGGTGAAGAAAGTGCCATCACAAAACAGATTGGTCACTTGTGGAACCAGCTCACCACGACAGAGAAGGAGGTACGGTGTGATCCCTCAAAGCATCTTCTTGGGCGTTTGAAATCTTATATATAATCTTGCTTTGTGCAAGATAAGAACAATGATGCCCATTCGCTTTAATTTTCAATTTAGTCTTGATAATCTGACTCTGGTGTGGCATGAATCATGTAGATTAGCTTTCATTTTTAATACCATCCTAATATTCAACTCTTGTGGTATGAATCTTTAGCTTTGCCTTTGGATTAGGTCTTAGTAATGTCTTCGCTGTGGCATCAATGATCCACATTGACAGCTCTATTCCTCAATTTAATTTCCATATTTGGACATCCGATGTAGGTTTACCAGGAGAAAGGAATGAGAGACAAGGAGCGATATCTGTCTGAGATGATGGAGTACAGAAAGTCAAACGCTCCGCAGCCCAGCTGAATGCCCTCAACATCTCTGCTTTACTTGTTTCACTTATACCCCCTGAAAGAGTTTTCCATTTCAAGGTCAAGATGCTGACAAACAGATCATGCTGGAGATGGTAGCTGACAAGTACAACAACAACAACAACAACAAAAATAGCAACAGCAACAGATACCTGTGTAGAGTTGCATCAGATCATCAGCGCAGGATCTGTATAACTTAATAGGGCGGATGATCAGAGACCCACGTAGTCAAATTAATATTTTTATTTATTTTTTGGTTCAGGAGAGAGGGAGATCGGTGGTTGATATTTTGCTTGATGTTAATGTCTCAGGAGAGGTTCCTTGTTTCTCTCTTCCGCTGACGTTGGAACATGTGGCTCTTAAGTGCATGTCTGAGAAAAAATAATAGATGAGACTGCAGAATTCTCTACTGCTTTAAAGGCGATGGCTCGATTCTGAGTCTTTGGAACTACTAAGAATAATGCCCGGGAAGAAGAGAGAGAAACAAACACCTGTACTAAGAAGGTTTTTTATGACCCATGTATCAAGCAACCATATCCACATGATTGGGTAGCAGAAGACTCTCTCTCTCTTCTCTCTCTCTTCTCTCTCTCTCTCTCTCTCTCTCTCTCTCTCTCTCTCTCTATCTATTTCTCTCTTTCTCTCTCTGATAAGGTTACCTTGTTCCTCTCCCTGTACCATTGTGCTCGAAGAACAGGCTTGAAGATGAATAAAATGTTTAAAGAAATCGCTTGACGAAGAATGGATGCGCAATAAATGGAAGGGGTTCAAAAATCGTAGCACAAAAGAGCTCAACATAGTGAGCTACTTAGGTGGTCTGTTACGCTGAAATATTTCTGTCGTTCTCGCAGTGCTAGCCCCCCACTTCCTATTATCTATGAACTTGTTGACTATTACTAATTGCTTGACCTCGGGTCCTGCGACCTAATTCCTTCATCTGGTCCTCTCCAGCGGCTGTGGAAAAGAAAGGGGGAGAGCGAAAGGTAGTTGACTCAAGCCTTAAAAGTTTATTCGCATTCTCACCAAGTTTTTACATCAAGCAGGTATTTATAGTAGTCCACAATATGAGAGAGAGAGAGACAGAGAGAGAGAGAAAGAACCAGGCCAGTTTAGACTAGGTTGGTTCTCATCATAATAGAAGAAAGAAAAGCAACGAAAAAGGAAAAAATTACATAAGAAATAAATAAAAAATACATTATATTCTGATAATCTCCCTCAAGTTGGTGAATGTAAATTATGCATTCTCAACTTAGGCACAAGGTGATGAAATACATTATTGTTGAGGCCTTTGATAAATATATGTGCAATTTGATTAATATGTTTAATAATTTTTCTCTAAATAAAAATTGATCAATTTCAATGTATTTAATTATATCATATTAAATTGAATTGTGTGCAATACTAATAGTTGATTATTCTCACAAAAGGTATCATTAGGCAATTTCTCTTGATCTTCAAGTTTCACAAGATAATATTATGCATAATATCTTATATATATCTTGTGCTATGGCTAATTTTATAAGTCTACTTTTGAATTTGATCTTGTCACAACATTTTACTTCTTGTTTCTCCATTTATAAGGTTTTTGTCAAGAAAGGTCTAATACCCATAAGTTAATAGAAACTTTAGTTATTGATTTTTTAGTTATCTTAATTCAGATATATTTTCCTAGTATCCCTTTAATATTTTATACTACTCAACGGGCTACGTGCAAGTGTATCTATCATGGACTATACATAAATGGACATATTATGTCAATCACATAAGCTATGTTAGGACATGTATGACATAAGTAAATTAATTTTCCTACTAAGCATTTATACATTTCTCAATTTTCAATTGTATCTTCTTTAGTTGGACCAAATTTGAGGGTTAAGTTATTAGAGAATTTACTAATTTACATGTAATTGTGCTAATTTACTAAAAATAAATCTATGATATATTTCTGCTGAGAAATAAAGATAGCATCATTTGAGTGAGCCCCTTCGATTTCGAGAAAGTATTTTAACCTTATTAATGATTTTATTTCAAACTACTTACTAATTGAGATATTTTTCTCTTGTATATCTTCTCCACCACAATTATATCATCAATACAGACTATCAAAGTTATAACTTTGATAGACTCTCGCTCCTCTCTTATGTTGGAACAATAATGATGGGATGTATTTGATGTTAAGAGAGCATCAGGACAATGTGGACAGAGGAGGAACTCAATTCTTCCACTGGATTGTAAGAGAGAGAAGCATGTGTGATGTCATGAGTATGTAAGAGTATTGTAGACAAATGATGATTCCACTAGATGATGAGAGGAAACAATGAAGATACCTTAATGATAGCAACGCATGTAGGTAGAGAGATGTTGAGCAAGAGTGATAAGGGGTACATACGGATGCAACATGTTCAGGCTCCAAGACAATATTCTCCTTCTTGTCTATCGAGCTCTACTAGCTCTCTTATTATTCTCTGTGATCATCACTTGTTTTGGTCATCTGCCTCATCTTCCAATGGAGCTACTCCCCCATTGCCTTCTAGTCTGGTCATCCCCGACAGTTCACTTGTCCATGTGGTGGACATGATCTCTTTTTTTGTAAGAACAATGGGTATGTGAGTATCTCATTAAACTCCCCCTAAAGGTATGATCATATTGACTTTATTTCTAGATCATCTTGCTTATGAATTTCATAAATCTATCAAACTAGGCTCATGGCAATTATTTTAGTCTTTATAAAGTTTCCTTTACATGCCTTTTTAGAACTTTCATCAAATTTATTATTTTAGCTCTCCACATAATAATATATTTTTAACATCACAGTACTAAAGATTCCAATGAAAATGAGTTACTAATGACAAAAAAAATCATGAAGAAAATTAGTTTTATTATATGAGCAAAGGTTTCTTTTTTAGGATAGACAAACATAGATTTTAGGATATCTCTCTTTTTTCTTGAATATACTTTTTCAAATCTATAATTTGCAAGTAATAAGTTTGTGAATAAGCAATGGTCCAATAATATTGTATATTCTGGTAAAAGAGCCAAGAGTATGGATTATGAAACTTATTTCTCAACCCTCTAAGATTTGATTAATTTCTTCATCACATGGTGTTGTATAATATTCATCTTCTTCTTGGAAAGTAATATCTATTGAAATAAATAAATAAATCAATATAGATTGATAACACATATATCACTTTTGGGGTTTGAGAATATCCTATAAAGATGCACTTTAAAGTTTTAATTATCTAACATATACCTATGTCATTCATGGATGTGAACAAATGATACAAATTCAAAAAAAGAGAGTTATTTTTTATAGAATATAAGGATAAAAAAATAATAATAATTTTATTAGACTTTTAAAGTTAAGGGACATAAATGGTGAATGATTTATAAGGTGGGTTGTCATTATAACTCACCTAAAAAAAACTTTGATACTTTATTTTGAAGAAGTGTCCTAGTTACTTCTGGTGGGCAACCATTCTTATATTCAGCAACCCCAATTTATTATGGTTTATTGACGCATGATGATTCATGAAGAATTTATCTTTTTAAAATAATATGTTAATATTTAACTAAAATAATATTTAATATTATTAAAAATTTACATCTTAGTATCTATTCTAAATTCAATTTAATGAGAAAAAAATTATAAAAATATAACAATCACTTTGAAGTTATGTTTAAGTAAATAAACTCAAGTCATTTTACTGCAATCATCTATAAAGATAATAAACCACCTAACTCTACTAATACTAGGAAAATAAGTAGGTTCCCAAATATCATAATGGATACTGAAAAATAGATGTGAACATTCTATATTACTTCCAAGAAATGATGTGTGTTGATATTTTACAAACTCACATACATCACACTTGAATTCAATTACTTTAATTTTATAAATATAGATGGAAATAGAGTTTAAATAAATGTTCTATCAAATTATCTCTAAATTTAATAAGGTGGATTCCTCAAACATATTACTTTATTCATCATATATGTTTGATTGATCAAATAGTTCAAGGTAGTAAAGTTTACTCTATTCTTCAGCATGTTCAATCCTCGTAAATGTTTTGTTAAAAAAGAGACAAAAATTATGGTCAAATAATATTGAGTTATGTAGGTCTAATGTGATTTGATTTTTACATTGAAACTAAATTAGTGTTCAATCTAGGAAAGAGAACATTTTGTTAGGCCCAATATTGTGTCCAATTTTTGGATCAGTTATGTTCTTAAATGGGCCAAAGATCCACTAAGGGGATTGTTATAAAGACATTTAGGGACCGTAAATGTGGGACACTTTTAAAGAAGTCAGTTATGAGAGTTGGGGTCACTCTTAAACTTGTCTCTTGATCACATTCTAAGGTTTCCTTTGGGAACCCTCTCTCTCTCTACATATTTCCCTCTATTTTAGTCCTGATTTTTCCTCATGTTTCACACTATTATTATGAGATTATATCAACTTGATATCAAACTCATGAGGTCAAGAAACCACAACATAATGTATGAGAACTTGGAGAATGATGTCAAAGACTTGAAAAAGGAGCTCAATCTCGAAGTGATAGAGACAAAAATATTAAAGATCACATCACTAGATAACATAGTGAGAAAGATTATGATGTAGTAACATAACTCATATATCAAAAGGACGATAGCTCGAGTTCATCCCAAGGAACTAGTTATGAGCTATTAAAATAAGTGAGACAAATACTACATCACAAAGTGAAGTGAGGGTTACATGTTTTTGATCGCAAACTAAAAATAATCAAAGCGTGATTGAACCATAAGAGACCATGATCTATGTATCTAAAAAGTACTCAATCACATGAAGCATGAGAGGGTGCCGATTGAAAATATCTATTTTTGGTGGAATAAATATTAACAAATAAGTAATCAATGTTAAATTTTACTTTGAGATTTAGAGAATAAAATATAAGGATCAACTAAAAGTAATTATATCTGACTTGGATGATGAAGTTTTTGTGTGGTTCAAATGAA